GCCCTGCCCCATCCATGAGCACCCAGAGGCCTCACAGCCCCTTGCTGGGGTGTTCTGGTGATGTGACCTTTTCCATCACTGCACAGGCCCCCATGCATTACAGAGTACACCAAATAAAGAACGTTCTGGTGAGGTGTCTGAGTCCCTAATGAGAGGCCTGGAAAACACCCAGGAACTGAAGCCATCCAAAACTGATGACTCTCTTTCCCCCTGTGCTATGGACTGCTCTAAATTCTAGATTCATTACAGCCTTGACTTAAATTAAGCTAAGCCATCCTGCAGGTCTGACTTCAGCAACTGAACACTGAGGAGATCCCGTTGCTCTTGCCATGCTTTGCCCCACAGACCAGCATGGAGATGCTTCAGGGACCCCAGAGCACTTGTACTCTTTCTCCAGCTAGAAAAGCACTCACAGATCTGGTCTGTAGAGACTCATGGAGCTCTGACACCACAGGAGACCTTAAAAAGGGACTGTCCCTTGAAGCAAGACTTAGACGAGTTCAGCCAAGGCTTGTCTCTGGAGATAAGGAGTAAGCAACAACTTTGGGAAGCCAAGGATAAAGAGGTTCATCAGGGGGTCAGTTAGATAAAACCACTAAAATATATTTGACCTAACAAAGTTACTCTGGTGGCTGCTCCCAGATCAGTGATGAGGAACAGAACTTCCCAACAGCAGAACTCTGCTTTTGCTGTTCCCACTGCGGGGTGAACCCTGTGCACGCCTCTCACCACAACCAACACTCCAGGAATTGCCTTGGGAGGCTCAGAAAAGGGCTCAGCAGCAGCCCATGGTTCTGGGACTACAGGAAGGAAGGGATAAGACACAGGACTCCTTCACAGAACAAGCACAGAGGAGCCAGAAATAAACAGCTTCTTCATTCCCACTATTTATCACACCCCAGTGATAAATATTAGTGATAAATATTAGTACCAATCACTATTAATCCCACAACAGCAAAACTTGGATTACAATACAACTGAAAGCTGGAGCAAAATATGTGATTTGAAAAAAGCTCCTGAGCAAATAAGGAAGTTTCAGTTCTTGCCTACTTGAAGCACATGTGACATTATTTGTTTGAAGAATAAAATAGACTGCAGGCATGGAAAATGCCAGGCATAAAGCTTTAGAGAGTTACTAATACAGTGGAATATAAATGGCAAGTGATCCCACATTATTTTTGAAAAGGCTGGCTGCAATTTACAGCCTTGATTAGACTGATTACTAAAGGATGAGCAGCAAAATAACTTAAGTAATTAAATTTCCGAAGAGGAAATCAAAGGTTCTTACTCATAAAATGAGCTTCAAATAAATTTAAATATTCCATTTGATTTTTGCCCTTCTCAGCAGAAGAGCACGCTGCCTGACATGGTCATTTTCCAGGAAAGGAGACTGAACAAGGCTTAACAAAGAAGTGAAAAAGGGCTTTGTAGCTCTATAGGTTTTCCATGGGAAAGGTAAAGCCCATTGGAACTACTAGCTCAGAAAGCAATACAACTTAATGGAAAAATAAATGTATCATTAGGACGTATTTCAAGTTGAAAAACACAGTATCCATCAGTATCTTGTGGTCAGTTTTCCTCCGTAATGTGTCAAAGCTGTCTGAGCAGATGGTAACCGATAACTGATGTGAAATCGCAGGGAGGGAGCGATCCAGGGAGCTCATCTCTAAAAAAAATTCCAAGAGAACCCCAAGTAGAGCCGTTTCTGCGTTTGGGAGACATCCTGTGGCCGCTGCAGACACTGCACCATCCCTCTGCAGCTCGCCTTGCTGTGCAGAAGGGATCAACTGACCATCCATGCATCCATCCATGCATCCATCCACGCATGCATGCTGGTCCTGCCAGGCAGCCCCTGCTCCTCTTGCCACCACAGACACAGGACCATTGTAACAATGCCTTCAAGCTCCTATCAGTGTTTTTGCCATCCATGTGGAAACACATGTGAAAACACTTCATTTCATGCCTTTTGCCTGTGTGAGCTGGGGAGGAAATTATTCCACACTTAGGAACTTTGCTGTTTGTTGCTGATTGCGGTGCTCACGCTGAGGTCTTGGTAAGAGGCACCTCCAAGCAAACAGGATTTTACCTCGAGACAGGCAAATGATTGAAAACCATGTGATTGTAACACCAGGAGAATTTTACTTTCTGATTTTGCATCCCCATATGTTTTAACAGAATTATTTTCGTGGTGAGGTATTTTGTTATCTGATTTTATTCACCTAATACATTCAATGTGATCAGCAACTACAAGGAAACACAAACTGTACAAATATTTTGGTTTTATGCCCTGAATTTTTAAAAGGATGTTAAATGATAACATAAGGGTATAAATGGAATGAGAACTGCAACATTTCTATGCCTTAAAATTCCATGCTGTGGTTCCCACAGCAACCATAACCATGGCCACTTTTCATGGATTTTACATCCAAGTCTGAACATACTGTTCCAAGTGCTCAACATACATCAGCAAAAACCAAGCAAAAGCTTTTTTTCCCCCCTGCAATAAACATCTTACCTGCTAAGTCACAACCACTAGAAGGTGTTAAATGGCACTGGGAGGTGAAGGTGAACTGCCAATAACTGACAATTAATGCCCTTAACTGGCTTCTGTGCAGATACCTGCAGGATTCATAGTGTTGGTATTGACACCCTTCTGATTTCTGTTATTGCTGGAACAAGAGCCTGCTGTTTGTACCAAAGGTTAAAGCATTCTTAGAAGGCTAAAAGAGAACAGTTATGGGTCTTTCAAATTCTTTTGTTTTGGATACCAAACTGTTTCAACATCAGAAGCACACAGTGGTCAAGAGACAGTTGTTCCATGGTTTTGCTCGTTTTATCCAGTCCCTTTGCTTACTGCTGTTGCAATGCAGGACTGTAATTGGTCTTGGGTATGAACAGGTTGAACTTCTAAAACATTATTAATTTCCCTAGGTTGAGCTTTATCCAAAGCTCATGCCCCTTCCTGCTGGATAACAGTTTATTCTCTGAAGCGATGTCAGTGGTGAAATCATTGAAATAATTCACTGCTACTAGAGGGGAAAAGCTCCAGTCAAAGGTGAAATTCTCAAAACTCTACTTCATCAGAATGTCAAATCAGGGGTTTAACTGGCAGCACCAGTGACCTGTAATAACATGAGCCTGTCTTTACTGGAAAGGTCCAGGATTTTTCTATGAAAACTTACAGAAATGAGAGTTTATGAACAGTTACAAGTCTACATATTTAGAATTAAACGTTAATCCATAGTACCAGCTTTCCAAAACTGTATTTATTCCTAAACATCTGCAGTGTAAATTAGAAACCAGAATTTTACATTAGTATGACCACCCCCCCACTCCAGATGGCAGAAATACCATCAACTACTGGAATTCTCTAAATATTTAACACTTTAGGTTACTAAGAAAAGATGTGGTCTTGGATAGCACAGCAAGAAACACCCGAGCAGGCCCCCCCCTGAAATACAGAGAGCGACACTGGCTCGGGGGGCCTCTGCCCACACCCAGGGGTACCTGAGCCCTCTGGGGACAGTGACCACTGTGACTGAGCCGGTTCCAACCAGGGCACAGGGCACACACTGCTGCTCCAAACCAGGGCTGCACAGGCTCTCTGGGCTGGCTGCAGGCCTAATTAAATTGCAATCCACAACGTGGTCTGTGACACAGCAGCTGTGGGAAATGCTGATTAAAAGCCTCTACACATTATCCCAACAGGCCCATGTATAGCTGAGCTTTTAACTGAATTGGAGAGAGCTCTTATTTAAATTCCAGGTATGCCACAGTCTTTCCATATGACTGGGGGGACTACTGAACCCTGCACTTAATTTCTGCAACACAAACGTGTGGATATTAATTCTGTGTTTTTATGAACAATCTAATTTATCTTGACACAAACTTCCGTAATAATAAAAAAAATAGGATACAGTATCTTGCTATATTTGATCTTGAAGCCTCACTGTAATGCAAGAGAAAAAGCTAAACCTTGCCCAAATCTGTACTATAAATCTTTAAATTCACAAAGATTGGACCAGATGCCATAGCTTGAACAGAAGTAGTGTGCAAAACACTTAGCCCAGAAGGACCAGCTGTTCCTCCAGCCTACCTCTCTCTACTTCTTCTCAACATGGTCAAGGACCTCAGGTCTTGTAAAGAGGTCAAATAAACTCAAGTGTCTCAGAAATCCTAAGTACAGGGAAGGTCTGCACAAGAAAAAGTGTATCTGAACTTGTTCCTACTCAGTGCTCATTGTTTTGTTTTATGTATCTTTACATGCTTTTTTTTAATGAAGTAAATCCCCGCAACCCAAACTCTTAATACGTTTTTCTCTGCCAGATCCAGCAATCGAAAGACACCTTCAGTGCTGGCTGACACAGGTTTCAGTGATGCAGACCTTCAGTCATGAGCCCATTACGATCAACCCCCAACACAGCACTTGGAGCACACATTCCAAGACACCAGCCATGTCATTAAATAAAAACGCTTCTCGGTTGCTGTTCACGTGTCTCAAAACACTGAGACCTGCTGCTGCCTCCTCACCCACACACCTCTGGTTATTTTTAAAATCTGCCCCTTAAGGTGAGAAAAAACAGCTGTGGTTCTGCAAAGTCCCATCAGCGGTGCCTGCAAACCTACAGGTTTTCCCAAGACATATGAACAGGTAAAAAACCTGTGTTGGGGAAGCAGTTCATCTTTGGTTTGGGGAGCTGAAGAAAGAATTTTCCTTCTCAGGCAGCTCCCAGAGGCTTGAACACCAAGCATGCAGGGTGCTAAATATTCTCACAACTTGGTAATTTTACAAGGCATTTGGGAGGGAAGCTGTTAAAAATCTTTTTCTGATTATAATAAGTGATTTTTTTTAATACCTCAAATAAAGATTTACTCTGAAAGAACCTTTGGAGAACACTTTAAGAAAAAATACCAAAGTACAAACTTTAAATATCCAAAGTATGATACTGGTGCACTTTTTAGAAACACTTACATACTTAACAGGTGAAGTAGGAAGAGAGTATTTCAGAAAACATTTAATACGAAACCTTTTGGAACTTCCATTGAATACAGATTTACATAATTTATCAGAACACTTTTTCAGTTCAGACAACAAAGTGCACTGCCAGGTGAAAAAAATACATTTGGAGGAGTGCTTAAAGCATAGGGAGTGAAAGGATAGGTGACCATTCACCTGAGAAAGTACAATGACTGCCCTGAAATGTCTTATTGCTATTACAAAATGGAGTTTTCATGGAAAAAACCCATCCTGAGCAGCACAGGCATGGGCAGAGCACTGAAAGCCAACTGAACTCCAGCAGCACCTGGAGTTCTCAAGCCATGGCATGATACAGAATATACAGAGAATAAAATGCAAATTCAGGAATATTTACTACATTTAACAACTATGATTACCCTTTAAACTAGCATAATCAATATCAATGCTTAGGGGAAAGAGAGGGGAAGTCTGCTGCCTTCACAGACTACAGATCACAAGAGCTAACTTGCAAAATATTAAGGACTTTGCATTTTCACCTCGGGTCAAATCTGAACTGTGTACTATGAGTAACTATTAGCTCACTGCAAATTTAAAATGCAAATTTAGGCTCCAGTTTAAAGCACATGTTAAGTACATGCGTAAGTGCTTCACTGAAATATAACCACAAAACATTAATACAAAAGGTCAAGTAGATAATGCAGGGTATTATCTACACAAGTCCTCGATGAAATAAACCGAGTATCGGTAGGAAACAATGCATGAAGAAATCTCTTCATCCTAGTTTGCAAAATCAAATCCGCTTCACCGCTGCGATGGTTAAAAAGTGGGGGCTATGCCAGAGCAGCTTCATGTCCTACCAAAAGCTAGTTGGCCAACAGAGTTCATCGGGGCGGGCTCCACACTGCACGGGGACAGGGGACAGGGGACTCCCTCGGCAGCACGGCCAGAGACACACGGGCACGGAGCCATCCAAAGCAACGCAACCGGAGCCAAGGGGAAGCTCGCTGGAAGAGAGCTGCAAGGAAAAGCTGCAACTGCTCCTGCCTATGGCTGTGGCTTAGAAAGCTGGATGTTTGGACAGAGAAGATCAGTAGCCAAATTGATTCCCACTTTCGGGTTTCAACGCTGAGGGCTGCCTGGAAGGTGAGGGACAGCACTGCCCAACGTGCAGCAAGGCCTCGGAACGGCACCGACTTGGACGTGGCTCGAGGCGGAGAATGGCCATGATTTGAGAGTCCCTTTGTGCTTTGTATCAGCCTGATCTAATCTAACGTGGCAAACTCGCTCTGAAAAAAAACCACTACTCAGCAATTAGCACCTCCCTTTACACTGCCTCATTCCCTAGAGGAACAACAGAGAAATGTTCTTAGCTGCGATCAATACTCATAAGCCAAAAGGACAAAGATACAGTTTTAGTAGTTTAGCAGAAGCAGAAGAATGGAAGCGTTTACCCAAATATTAATGCACAAATTAACTACATTATTAAAATTTGATTCAGACTTAAATAATAAATAGGTGGGCAAAATATAATGCAAGACTTACTCAGTAAAAGTGAATTTTTAATCATTTCATGAGATCTACTTAGAAAACAGGACTAATAATGTTCACAACCATAAATCCAAACCCTTCACACACTTTTCTTAACACAGCAGTGAACTGTAAACCTGTGTTTACTGGTTATCTCTTCAGTCATTTTAAATATTAACTCAAGTGTTTCCTCCTTGGCCATTTCAATTTTTAGCACCAAAATTAGCCCAAAAAGAGGTACTGGTACAGCTCAATGTTGTAAATGAATTGTTTACATATAATACTTTATATATTATACACACATACTGTACATTCACACATCCACACAAACAGGAGGCATATTTAAATGAATATATTCTGTGTTTCAATTTGTTGTCAAAGACTTAGGAGCAATGGAAATAAAGCAGAAGGGGTAATATTTTACATAGTAGGCAACTTTAATGCTGTAGTGCACTTATAAAAAAGTCCAACTCTCCCTCCCAGCTCAGCAGCTTTTTTTTTTTTAATATCACTATTCAGAAGGATGCAGAAGTTATTGCCTAAATGTTATTCTATACATTTCCATCGGAATTCTCAAAAACACTTTAAATTGCTAACTAATTTACAACTTAACTATTTTTTCTTGTTACAGCTTTAACTCATTGGCAATTTTGGAAGCAATGTTTTTGAAAGCTATGGATGTTCCCGATATCCGCTTAAAGCGAACTCCATTCAGGGACAGTCTTGGCAGTTTACACACCTCCATTTCCCACTGGACAAGGTTTTCTGCGTGCCCATCTCCATGGACACAGAAAAGCAAGAAACGCTCTCTTTGTTCATAGTCACAATTATTGGCATCCAGGACCTTTCGTATTTCCCTCATCATGTCATTGGGATCCATGGAGCTGGTGGTTTTCATGCTCCAGGTAAAACGCAGCGACCGAGGCTTGGCTTCCTTGTTCTCATCCTTCTGATCCACAGCTACATTGCGGCTGAAAGACAGGAATTTCGGAGTGAGCAGGGCCAGCCACCCTCCCCAGGGGCCACGTTAGTGAAGCCAACACTCAAAGCACACCACCCGGATTAGAGCAGCACTGGAGGCTTTGGCTGCAGCCGAGCCCCGCTCCCCCAGCTGCTGTACACACACACAAGTCAGGGGGGAAAGCTGTAGCTGCTGGGGCTGGAACGAAGGTATGGCACGAGGTGTGACACAACTGGCACTCACTGGATTCAGGAGCGTGGGGGCAATGACCTTCTGGAGGCAGAATGACATGCAGCACCTATGACTTGATTTTAAGGCAGGTTCTGCTCAAAACTGTACTCTTGGGCCACATGGGCAGCTGAAACACCACCTCTGTGCTAGAAGTTTCTGGAACATTGAAAAAACAGCTCCCTTGTGTCAGGAGTCAGTCCATGCCATGGGAGGTGCCCACTTAGAGGGAATGGGGTGAGTCTGGGCACAAAGGTGCTGGGGGTTCCTCTGCACCTCCTCTGGGCAGCAGCCGGGAGACCAAGCCCTGGGAGGGCCCGTGGAGCCCCAAAGCAGCTGGCTGCAGGCAGAAGGAAGGACAGCAGGATCAGCATCACCCACCTGCTGTCCAGGGTCAACATGAACCCCGAGACCTGGGGCTGGCTCAGTTACACTCTGGCCTTCCTCCACTGGGGCGTGTTTGAGATGATCCCTAGGGACACACCATGCTGCAGGCTCTGGGGGTTGCCTCAGAGAGGAGATGCTTCCTAAGTTGGTCAGTAATTCATTAAATACCAATCACTGACAGAGGTAAAGTGATGAAATCTTCTGCAGCTACAAGCTCTGCAGTTAAGTGCCTCTGAGGGGGACATGCATAAAGAGAGCTGGAAGTCACTATTCACCTCTTCAACATAGTTTGTAAAGATGGTGAGAGGGTACCATTATTGTCACAGTTTTAAGAGATAAAGTACAAAATATTGAGAGTGCGTTTCCCAAATCTGCTGCTTTTTTTAAAAATAAAAAAGCTTTTCTTTTGGTATGGGTAAGTGAAGTTAAACAGGACAAAGGAAAGAAATGTTCCAGAAGTTTCTAGTTTTCAATCATTCTTCTACTTAAATAAAAATCAGTAGTCATGCAGCTAAAGAATACATCTGGACCTCCAGGGACAAAATACAGATTTTTCTTTGTGAGTATTTGTACACTGTCAGTCACCTCTTCAAATTTAATTAAATATATTGACCGTCATACTTAACTATTTCCTCAAAACAGCAAACCTAACTGACCCCAAACCATGCAGTTTAGGTCTCATGTTGAGCCTCCATATTAAGCCAAGCTGGTCTTTGAAACAGATGGCAATGGTTACACCACGTTTTATTTCTACTACCATTAAGCAGGCAATTATGAAAAAGTTAAATAAAAAGTGATAGCAAGGCCACAACTAAATAAATATATTTCTCAAATATAACCTATTTCATAATCCTCCTAATAAAAGACTTCTTGTGACTGAGAGTCATAAGACTATGCAATATGATTTGCCAGATGTTATAAAATTCATCACACAAATTAAAGAGTATTCTGTTTTAAGGTTTTAATTTAATAAGGCTGTAAAGGGCCAGGGGAAAACCCCAACTTTTATTCAATGCTCATTTTATTTTTGGAAGCTTTTTCTACTTGAAAACAGTTGGCAAAACCAGCAGTTTGATAACTTCTGATATTTTTTTGATATGCTGATTTTGGAAGAAGAGTATAATGAAAAATATTTAACTACCTGTGATTTTAGAGATGAGAAATATCTTATCACCTTTCAGTGGTTATTCCACACATTTGCAGCCTCACTAGAGACCACTTATCTACACATCTACACGACAACAGCAAATTACAATGACTAAAATGCAAAAAAAAAAGAGAAACCACACAAGGGAAAAGGCAACAGGAAAGATGAAAGTTTAGAACCAAGTCAATCAGTGCTTTAATAGCTGTTTTGCAGACGGAAATGCATCTTTGTTTAGTTCCAATGACTTACATGAAACAAAAGCTGCTGCCTGAAGCCACTATGCCACATAATCAAGGGGAGAAAGGTTCAAACTCACCTAAGTAACATTTTAAACAAAAATTTTACCCTCACCTTGAGCCCTCAAATCTCCCGTTCCTCTCATATTCAGTCGGGAGCCTCAATGAAAAGAATGCAGAAGCAAAAGGAAGTGGGAAAGAGAAGACAAATCTTATACTACAATATATAATATCTGAGTAGTTGCTAAAAGATACTACAATCATACCAAAGGTGTGTTAAAATACAGATCAACAAAGATGTAAAGAACTTGGTAGGTTAGGCCAAACTCAGAATGTAACATTGTCAAACCAAATGGAAGTCTATAAACTGCAGTTTGTAAACCAACCATAACTAATTGTAACAGTATGTATTTATATATTAAATCTGTAGAACTCACTGAATAAATCTGAGGTTCTAAAAGCAGAAAATGTGAAACTAAAGTTACAAAGCATATTGAAGTGACTGTATTTATTAAGTACCTCTTAAAAGAGAAATAACTCCCAAATGTTTTTAGGCTAATGTAATTTAGAAGTTTTATCTGGAATAAAGTATATATTTGAAAAAATCCCCGTAACTATTTAAGGACAAGTCTGACCACCTTGTGTATTTGCATGCTCATCAGATCTGAGGTGTTCAAACAATACCATAATACCTTAATGCAAAAGAAGATGCATATACATTTTAATGGAACTTTTAGAGGTAAATCCAAGATTTCACAAGCTGTGGTAACTCCATCCTATTAATTCCCACACTGATGCATCTTCCCCACCCAAGAACAAGCTCAAGCTTTCTGTCTTCTTGCAGTGCTTAAGGCTACATTGCTGGTCACAACAATGACCAGCAATGTATCATCTATTGAAAGTCCAAGGTCAAGAAGAATTAAGGGGAAAATTATCTTTCTCTGCCTTCCCATTGCTGAAGGAAAATGGTTCAACATATCAGCATTAACTCCTCTCAGAGAGATGCTACCTGTACACCGCTTTCATCCACACTAAGGCAGTACATGGCTTCTCTGAGTAACACAAACACGGCAGTTTGGGTGGCAGGTGTCTAGGGACAGGAATATAAGACAGTAACCTTATTTTCTGATGCACAGTGATATTTATATGAGGGTGTGTGGGGTGTTACAAGGTGTGATTTCCTCCTTTCCTTCCTTTTGAGAGCTGTGGTGAGGGATCAGCCTTGCGAGGTGTCTCTGGCAGTCCCTGTCACAGGGGACCAGGAGCTGTCCTGGCATTGTGAGGGGCAGGGTGACAGCACTGGCTGCATGGGCCACAGAATTAGCCCACATTCAACTCAGGTGCTACTGCAAATCTGCTGCACTTAAAAGGGTGCAAAGCTGCTTAGCTGAGAGCTGCTGGTGATGGCAGCATCCGATCAGAACCCTGCTGCAGTGCCACAGCTCAAGGTACAATGGGGACAATGTCACTGGCAAATGAACAGCTGCCACAAGCAAAAAAGATACAGAAAAAATCAGAAGACGACAATTGGAGGTCCCAGTGCAAAGAAGGCAGTTATTGTTATTTTCATGAGGTCTCATATTACTAATCTGTGGTGGATACAAGAGAAGGTGGAAAAAGATTTCCTGTATATACAGTCATGAAGTCATCCTCTGTGACAGCTCTACAGGACCAGAAAAGGGATAGGTAGGAACCACCACATGTACCAACTGAACAGATCCTCCCCTTTCAGATGATTGTTTTACTGGGCAAAGCAACCAAAAAGTTAGAAAACACTCCTCAACTGAAAAATTAAGAGTACTTAAACTTCAAAGAGCCTTCTGTGTTCCTGTGAAGTGGAAAATGGCAGCTTTAAGAGCTGCAAACATTTATGGATTTTTGTTGGGTCTTTTGTGTTTTGTTTTGAAACTTGCCAAAGGCTGTAGAAAATAGGAGGACAACCAGTTTCCCCAACAATGAACAGCCTTACTGTTGCTGGAATCTGTCCAGAAAAGTCTGTAAGGAAAAATCCCTAATGATGTCCTGACACACTTATCAGTTTGAAATTAAGCTAGTGTTCAGTTTGTAAAATTGTACTCTAAATCTAAGAAAGGTCATTATTTACAATATACCTGCCACTCTGAAATGATAAAACATTCTCATGGAAGCCTCTCAGAAAATCCTTGCTTTGCTCAGTTTTTCCATGCATCAACGTTCCATTCAGTGAGCAGAAGGAACTGCATGAAGTGACACACAACCTCAAATGTAAGCCATCATGCCAAGCTTAGGAGAGCTGTGCCAGTCTCTCAAGGTGCTCCTTCCTTCATGACAGACATGGTTATGGTCCAGCTCTACAGCCCAGCCCTGCTGCTCTGGGAACAGGCACTTACTGTACTGCCAGGATTCTTTCAGTTGGGGTTTGTGAGTCAGATGCAGCCCTGAGGCCTCCTCACTTGCTAATACAATATTCACTTCTGTGCTAGTTTATGCTCTAAGTTTTCTGCTTTTGCTTGTGTTTTACATAAACTGATTTTATGGACCAAGATGCTTCTTGAGAATGGAACAAATACATAGACAAGTTCTGTTCTCATTTGTCATGCCATGCTTACACATTATCTACCTTATGGTTTATGAAGAGCTTTCACAAATCTGATTGTTTCCACACATCTGTCCCAAATTATGCCGTGTTCCCTGTTCTTTACATCTTTGTATGCTGTTTTAAATAACGAAGTAAACACAAAGAAAACTGTCTAAAAAGATACTGAAAATCAACAAAAAGTGCAAGATGATAAAATAAGATCAATTTCTGGAAATGGAGGAATGATGCTGCAATAAAATCCAGAACATTGAGTCATTTTTGCTGTCCGAAAAAAAAAGTTAAGACTTCCACAATATGCAGATTGGCAAAGACAGTGCATAGTACAAGATATATATATATACTCACACATATATATATATTTGATACCTCTGTGTACTGAGTAGAATATTAAAACTCAACAGTTTAACAAGGAGTGACTGATTATCTACTTTCATTCAGCTCCTAGAATTGATGCTGTGGCACTATGAATACATGCTACTGGGTTACTGTAGCTCTGAGAGAACTACAAAGACAGTGATCTCAGGTAGGATTCATTTCAAAAATAACCCGGAGAAACTGCCAAAAGCCCCAGCATTTTCAGGTTTTGTACCTACATACAGATCAGGTATGGAGGGACACCACACATACTTAAAACAGAATTAAAAAAGCACACTGATCCTGTGCAGGTCATGTAAGACTTCACAAAAGTATTCAAAAAGATGTAGCAGATATTTCTACTGTGGCCTAAGACTTCTGGCCTCAAGTCAAAGGCAATTTTTTGAAAATTACCTAAAAATTACCTAAAGTCTCAAATTCAAACAATAACCTTCTAGTTTAAAACAGTACTCATATTAGCATGTCCCATCTTTCTTCAGAACAAAAGTAGATGCATCCAGCTGTGTGGGGTTGCACAGATCACAATCCTTTGTTTTAGAAGTGGGCTGTACCCCACAGCTCATGATGCATGCTGGGTTAAAGCCACTGTCACTGCTCATTTCCAGCTGTATGTCGAGTTGGATGGTTTCTTTTCTTAATTAATTGTTACATTTTCTCACATCAGCTGTGACAATGGCGGCCAAGACAACCAACACCAGTTCCAAACAGGACATGTTTGGAAGAGCACTGATTACCATCACCATGGCATGGAATTTGCTCAGTTAATCAGGTAGGGTACTTTTAGCCTCGCAGTGTACATAATAAACCCACATTTAGGCAGCAATTTATATATGTCAGGACTCTCTAATCTAAACATTTCCTTGAAATGGTGTAACTCCAAATTACAGTCACAAGCATAGCCTTGTATTCTGAAGGTGAAAACAGATGCTTGTTTTTTGGCCCCTTTTCCCTGGTTTTGATCAGTAGTAGGAAACTGGAAGTACCACCCTTTAAGAAGTTCTAAGATGTGGTACAACTAAACAGGCTATTACAAAACTCTGCTGCAAAATTTATCTGCACATCAAAATTGTATAAGTGATTTTCATGAATCATAGCGGATTAATGAGAAATATAGCAGCTTGATTCATTCCCAAATTGCAAAACTAAATTCAATCCTTTGGCTTGAAATGTGAATCAGACTTCTGAACTTTTCCATTTTGTTGATAATTTGCATAAATGTACTTTTTGCTTATAACTGAAGTGGTCTGTTTGCACTTCAGCTGCAATTCACTTCAACAAATGCACCCCATTTTAAAATAAATACACAGCTATTGAATCTTCATTCAATCTTCCACACAAAACTGTTCAACTCACAACGGTGCTCAGCTGCAGGCAATACTTCAAACCTTTTTTCTCTTCAATATCATAAAACATAGAGATAACATAAATTTAATATTACTTACCTTTATTTGCTTGTAATTGTATGTTTTGTTTATACTTTCATCATTGTTATCAAACACCTCATTCTTCAAACATAAGCATGCTAAGTGTATTAGTACAGAGAACAGAATTACTTTGGCACTACCAACTCTATCAAAGAAAGGAGAATTCACAAGGCATGCTTAGCATCTTGTTATACAACACAGATGGTGCCACAGATTCTTAGGTATCATCATGAGTTAATGGATTTATTCTATGCTTTCCTCTGAAGAAAGAAAGTATTTAGTTCTCAGTAGGAAGTTTAGTTTTCAGAAAACCAAGGCTAGAAAAGCCAAATCCTTTGTTAATTGCAGGAGCCACTTTTTTTTAAATATAAACAAATCCTACCTTTTGATAAACCTGAATGACATGTTTCTAAAAGAAATTAAGCCAAAATAATAGTTAACAAAAAATTTTGTACAAAATAAATTGAAAAAGGCATTTAGAGCAAAACATGCAAAAAATCTCATTTTAAATGCACAATTAAATTACACTTCAATACATTCTCAGATTAGGCAGATGATTTAGGGGCTGAAGAGCCAAACTGCTGGCACTGCTACTTTCAGTTTTTTCTGGGAAATATGGAACCAGTATTTACTATGAATTAAAATATGTACTGGTGTCAAAACACTTTAAAACTCAAAATCTGCAAGGTCAGGTAAAAATATGTTTGGATTTTCTTCATATATTTACCACAGAAAGCAAAAATCAGTAACTCTACTATAATTCTATCCTGAGTATCTTCAGAGTTAGGTTTCTTCCTTTCTTCATACCATTAAGTCAGCCATGTTGTGCCAAAAACTGCCTTAAATATTTAGCTATTTAAGTGGCTGAAGCTGTAACAATTGCCCACAGCAGAACATAAGTAGTTCATAACCAAAAGAATTCTGATTCCCCATGGAGAATGTTACAATAAATTAATGATTAATAAGGTTTAAAATTTTTATTTAACAGAAAGAAACATAATCATGTCCTTCAGTGGCACTATCCACCTCTTCAGTAGTTTGTACAGCACTGAATATAACAGAGCCCCAGCTGCAAGGCATCCTCCAAAAGCAAACTAATCATCTGTAACTGTGCTATTGTGTTACAACTGCATGTTATTTAATCAAGTCCAGATGGAGTTCAAACTACTGTCAAAAGTCGTGGGGAAAGACTTCTTCAAGAAAGCAACACTGCACTGCAAAAGTTGAAACTCTGAGGTAATGATAGAAGTTTGAATGCTGCCTAAACAACTGAGTGAAAAGTTTGCATGTTCACAGTTTGAACATCCATATTTGGAATGTCAAATGGAAAATTAAGTAAGGATATTACAAACAAAAGTACAGAAAGAAAGACGTGCCAAAAGGATGTGGCTGATTAAGACTTCATTTGACATAAAGCACATGGCTTAACACTTAAAAAGTATTCAAATTAAACTCCTCTCTCTCTCAACATAAAAAGAAAGGGGGGAAAAGCCCAAACCAAATTTCCTACAGCACAGTGTTTCCCAGAGAAGTATTACCTGACAGAGAACTGAGCAAATTAAAACACTTATCAAAGGCTAGATTGTCACGTTCTTGTTTTGCAAAGAAGCAACATCTACATTTTTAAAGAAATTCACTCTTTAAACTGAAATCAGACATTTGTGAAAAACTGGAGTCTGGCTTAGCATTATTTTGTAGGGATGGGAGACTGCAAAGGGGATACTGAGAGGGAGGCATCTACAGTCATAAAATAGACAGGAAGGAAATGGTTTGCTGCTGACGTGGTATAAGCTTAAAACAAAAGCTAGCAGGCCAAGATCAGAATAATCTTGTCCAAAAAACTTCACCTGATAAGGAGTGTACAAAAGCTTGATGATTATCTTGAAGCAAAGACAAACAAGCCCTCAATTCTACAAATGCAAGTTGTAGAGATCAGTGGTCTGAAGTATGTGGTATGGGAACTGACAGGTTTTAAATACAGCAGGAAAAAACACAATTTCCAATTTTAGAGTTTATAGGACCTAATCTAAATCATACATGGATTTGAAACTAGAAGTTCAGTTAGAATAAAAATTGCTAGTGTTGGAGCAAGACCTGCTAAAGCTTGGCTTTGGCTAGACCACCACACCTTCACACCTAACACAGAATCTGCACATGAACTGAAGTCCAAAGTAGGAATAAATTTTTCAAGGTTTGACCAGACTCCTGCCGAGACTGAAATCCTAATACTGCCATTATTTTAAAATGGTCTGCCAGTACTGCCAACAGAAGCTTTTGTCTCCCGTCCCTACCCTTTCTCTACCCTTTCTCCTGTGGTAAAATACTATCTGTGTTACCAGCAAGGTTTGGCTGACAACACTGATGGACTAAGTGACTGGGAAACACAAACTGAGCTTCTAATGCTACATCAAATATCTAGACTGGGATCCTAGTTTATGCCATCTACTGATGGACTACACAGCCAATGAGCAGCTTTTTGACTGAGCTGAAATGTTTAATCTCTGCAGCATTTGCACCTCAGACATGAGGCTGAAGAGCACAGAAGAAACAGCACAGACCAAACAGTCTTACATTTAATCCCATTTGACTCAACTCCCAAAAACAAATGGCTTCTGTAACCAAAACAGAACTATGAAAAAATCATAAGCAACCGCATTTTCAGTTGCAGAACTTAAGCCATTAGTCAGTGAACGTGGACAAAATCACCTAAGCAATGAGGTACTTCTACTATAAAAAGGAGAAAAAGACAGAAACATGGCAGTAATATTTTAAGAGGCTTACCTTCTGGTTAGTTTAGAAGTTAGTTTGCTAAAGAGGTTAGTGGAGCCCCTGGTGCGGGTCTGTGAGAGCGGCGTGGCCTCGTGGGACAGGCTGGGCGAGGCGGGCGGGCCGTTGTAGGTGGCGGTGCGGCGCTCGCGCAGCTGCCCGTGGAACGTGCTCCGGCTGGCCGTTCCTCTGGGGAAACGAATACGGTCAGGGGTGGTCGCACTGCTAATGCTGTGGGTTGAAGCAACGGGAGTTCTCTGATCGGGAATAGTGCTAGGGCAGAAAACAACAAAAAAAACAATGCTAGAACGCTTTCACACAGGCACTAGGGCTCAGCAGGAAACACAAAACACTACGTTCTACAGTAAAGCATAAGCAGACACTTTTATATAGGCCAAGGTTGGAAATACCAACATTATTACAGCACTGTATGGAACCAAAATTTGTAAGAAGTTAGGATTAAGAGGCTGCCGAAACAGAAACCTACATAGGCAGAAAAGTGCAACAGGAATATCCTGGAAAAGACCAGATTAACCAGGCCTACAGTGTTTCACTGAGAAGACTGATAAAAGAATAGACCGGTAACGTTTCCTCCCAGGAAAGAGAATAGGTAACTTTAGAGTCTCTCCCTCCACATTCTGTACATACATCTTTGAAAGTCTTACTAATTTGAAAGTATCCTACACAAAATTCTCTACAAGCGAACCGCTCCAAGTACTGAAGTCCTTCAGGATACAGTTAAAGTCTCCCACAAACTTTGACAATAGGGAATGTCCAATACTCCTAACAATAGGAAAAAATTAAGGTTCACTATTGCAGGATTATGTCACAGACAGCCTGACACACCACAAGACAAATGTAAACAAGACTAAAAAAATGAGGAAACACACATCTTGTGGGCAAAATATACTAGAACAATCTAGGACTAAAATTCCACAGCACAAAGTTAAGAAGCAGTGGGTATAAGTTAGTGTCACAACGATTTCTGGTTCTTACATAGGCCTGAAGTTATCTGCGCCATTGTCTATTGGAGGCAACATCATCTTCGTGTGCACAGAGGCTGACATGGACATCGACTTCTGATGTCGCAGCCGAACACTGGAGAAGGATGTGGTACAAACTGAAGCAGGGCTAGCTGCGTAAGCGAACATTTCTGTCAGGCTGCGAGGGGGTTTGGGTTCAGGCAGAGGCAGAAAGAAGAGCATGATGGACCAACAACAAACTACTGCATAGAAAAAAAAAGCAAACTTTTCCTTCTATTAACTGGTTTATCAAAGAACACGAACTCTAAGAGCCCTCCTCTTCTATGTAACAGCAGTAACTACTCTACACTCCCCTTAAAAAGCATCCTTACTTACATGGCACTGGACATCTATAAGTGACCATGCTCTTACCATTAGTTTGCAATGATACCCTCCTTGAAGTGAAGAACCTGAATAACTCAGAATCCCACGCCAAAGCTCTATGATAAAGCACTAATGTAGCTTGTATTGCTCTTAACAGTAAACAATGCATTAAAACCCCCACCAAATGCACTTTCCAAAAGACTCATGATAGCTCCATTACTACAGCGAATCCTTTGTTTTCAGAATGTATCCGTGTAAAAAGAAATCACTGAAAGTTGGACAAGCTGTCAAATCTACATCAGAGACTTCACAGGTACAATCAAAACCAAAAACACCATGATCTTTAACAACTCTGGAGAAGCCAAAAGAAAAAGGCTGCTAATAATAAACCTGTATGTGTAGTAAGGCACTGAACATGCTTGCTGCTTTCTGAAGAAAGAATGACTGTTGAAGAGCATCTTGTATTGCTTTAACCATGAAAATTAAATTCTCCAAATTACCATTGAGGCTTTGAAGGAAAGCATAAAGCAGTGTCTCAGCAGAATAGCCAGTAAGCTGCCAGCTGTATAGTATGTTCAAAGCATAGAATTTATTTATGCATTAAATTTATTTATTTATTTAGGCCAAAATACTCTTTGCAGCCTTCACATTATCTAGTAATGATAAGGATAGGAAGAAAGTGAGAAGCCACAAGGTGTTTTGGGCCTTTCAGACTCCACCACCATGTCATTCATCTGAACTTTATTTTAAAAGAAAGACAGCAGTAATTCAGAAATTTTCCTTGAGGTTAAGAAATCAGTAATTCTCAGTGACAGTTTCAAGATACTGCATGTTCACTTCCAAGTAACTTTATAGTTACACACACAAACTCAAGTCCCGTTACCGAATTCTGTACATCAGACTCTGGGGAGGAGAATGCTAGTGTAGCTACAAGTGTCAGCTCACCCACTTCTCAGGCTCGGCTCCCAAAGCACCAGTACAAAACACCACACAGCTCAGACATCTGAACTGCAAGCTAAAGTGCTTAGCAAAACATACTTGGCTTTGGTTTAACTTTTCAGGATCTGAAAAACTTCATCTGAGTCATGCATGCATCTCAACAATGCTGAATCCATCAGAATGACAACTACAAGCACTACTTACAATGAAGCCTTCAACACAGGCCCAGCATTTACATTACCCCAGGGTTTTAAGGAATTGTAAGAAAATGAACATTCATCTCAAAACTAATACCCTGAAGTCACGTAATTGGTCACTGATCTCTCAACATCTTCCAGCTCCTTTCCTCTATATTTACTGGAAAAGATAAAGAATCTAGTTTTATGACACAAGGCCCAAGTTTTTAGTCACCTGCCTCCAAAGATGTGACAACTAAAGGTATCAGTAAGGGACCTTCTCTTCCTCTGATGCTTTGCTAGAAATCAGCTTCCTTGGATTACTAGCCTGGGAACACAGAACAGTGAACTAACAATAACCAATTAGTGCCAAGTCTTATTAAAAATCTGAAGCTGCTGTAAATCATTTGTGTTACAAATGATTTAAAGCAATTGCCTATCATTATGAAGAGTGTTTCATGAGTCCCCAAGTGCGTTAATTAATGCTCAGACTTTGGAGGAAAGCCAACAGAGTCGTCTCCAGCAGAATGCCTGTGTCAGCCACACAATGTTAAAGAGAGATGGGAGACTCAGAACTCTTTGTTCCTACCAGTCTGGCATGGGTCTTCAAGACTACTTTCTCCAACATCAGATCTAGTGACTATTGATTCTTTAAAGTTTTTGTATTTTCAGAAACAGTGCCTTCTCAGCATTCAATGTGCAAGATAAAAGCAGAATAAGCAATGTTTTAACACTTTCTCTACAGAAAAAAATAGAGATTTTAAATGTGTGCATCTTGCCTTTTATGGTAAGTCGCCCAGGTTTTCACTGGGTCACAGTATCTGACTAGTTATGGAAAATCAAAAATCCAATATGTAACAAACCATTTACAGCAATCACTCCTGCCAGTAACATTTTCCACCAACAGACATTTCAAAATCTCAGAAGTAATTTTGAACTAAACCTCGGATATGTACAAAGCTCTGGTTCAACTTCAGATCTTATTTTACAGAAGAAAAAATAACAAGTTTCTAGAGTTACTTTCTGCCAAGCTGAGAGTATAATAGCATTAAAGATTAATTCTGAAGAGCCATTCCCATCAATAGCTATGTTGATTTTTCCTGCATTAAAGGTCCCTGCATTTCATGTGACCAGTCAATGCTTTACCCAGTTACAGCAACAAAATACATTCAAATGTAAATTCTGAATTCTGTGCCAAATCACAGTAATTCTGAAACTGTGCCAAAATGAACATGAAGTTTAGTATTGAAGCATTTCAGACAATGACAAGTCTCCAACTGTAATACAATTAGCAATGCATTCTCATTATCTTTTCTCTTTTTAATCCTCTATAAAAAATAATGAATGCAGTAATCAAAAAATGCATGATAAAAGCTATAAAGACATTTTTTACCTGTGTAAATATAAATTCTCAGACATTTCAAATTACCCAAATAAGGCTAGTTTGTAGAAAAAGCAAATGATATTTAAATATCATATTGACAATAAAAGGTAAATTACACAAGGATAACCAATTACGAATATAAAACACAACTAATATAGTTGTCAAGTGATACTCAATCTTAACTTTGAGTTTAAGGTCTATATGAGACAAACCAGAAAAACATCAGTTTCCTGAGAAATTCAGAGCTAGGGAAATAAAATTACTTCAAAAAATAGCTCTTTATGAGTATGAACTTACTCCCAAATTAAGGGAACATCTAAATCTCAAGCACTCCTAGTAAACAATATCTAATAGCTTTTAAAAATGTAATAAAGAAATTATAGAGAAGATATTAGTTTAAGATTGACCAAAAATTGTATTAAACCAAGTAGTCAAGTATAAAACTATTATCAAAACTATTATGGAAAGATTCATTTTTTCAAAGAGTATTTGGAAAGAAAAGAACTATTAACATATCAAGTCAGAGAAAGGATGGTGAGCTTTAACCTAAGCAACTTGGTAACATTAACAAAGAGTAACCAATAAAGGCTGAGACAGACACACTAAGAGCCAAATAGCTGCGCTGCACTTCACAAGACAGGTGACTGCAGGCCCAGCTAGCCAACTACACTTTTGGCAGTCTTCAAACTTATGCTTGACTCTTTCCTTAATCACTTTCCATTGGCAGAAAGCTAGGAGGAAGAGACAGGGTCAAAATCATGTTCTTTATCCCTAGGCTCCAGGAATCAAACAGGGAATAGACAGGCTTTCCATTCAACATCACAATTCCTCAACTGCCAAAAGGAAGGAAAAAATTTTGTGCAAAAAATGGCAGATCTTCTGCCAACTTCAACACAAGTTAGAAAATACGTGTTTTCTTCTTACCCTCTACAAAATATCAAAATACTAGGAAGGGGTGGAGAAAATTTGGAAGCACAGAAGAGGGATACACATTTCTTTAAGTACCAGCTATTTGGATGCTCTCCTGGCAAGGGTTAACTACTTAGTTGTTACCAGCTTTTGACAGCAATAAAATTCTGAGAAGAGCTGGAAATTAAAATACCTCAGCCAGCCAGGAAGTTTGGTGGTATTCCTCCCAGCTGCTACTCTATACCTGATATCTACATTCACTATAATATTATTTCTGAAAGCTCTTCACAGGATAGCAGTAGATGTGACCACAGTGCCAACACATATAGTGGTTAGCTCCAGTTCCACTGCATGCTCTACTCCGGATTTCAATCAGAAAATTAAAATGAAATTAGTTATTTCTCTGACTGTTTTCACTCAGAATATGGAGATACCCTGAGGAGGGAAGCAGCTAAGTTCTGTAAATCCTGGGAAACAATTAGACTGCCACAGTATCTGCAAGGAACACTATTAGTCCAAGACAATGGCCGATCACCATTTCATCTTTGCTCAGAATAAATTACCTCCTCCCTGAGACTTTGCAGGAAAAATGGTATTTCAAATAATCCCAGTGAAACAGAGTTTAGAGTGAAATATAAAAAGAGAATGGCTCAAGAAAGATGGACTTTGTAGTCTAACACTAAACAAAGCTCTTCTGCAAGCAAGCTGTTTGACCACAGGGGTTCACAACAGATTTAAGATGAAGGCTACTACAAATATTTCATATATTTAACCAGAAATTAGAAACTTCCTTTTACATTCTAAGACTATAAAATTTAATATAGGGAAAAAAAAAACAAGCCAAACATACTTACAGGTGCTCCATAACCAAAGATCTGTACTCACCTTTCATTAAGAATTACATTAGAATATCACTTATTTTTAATTTAGGCATTACAATTTTTTTTTGAAAGGTGAAGACAAGGGACATACACCATAGGAAGACATTTCATATACCTGTTCTCCTTGCCATTTTGTATCACTGAATGCCTATCAGCAGTGGTTCTTTCACTACAAACATATGTGTTGCGCCGTGTCATTGCTCCAGGGGTAGTATTATTCTACAATTAAAAAACATAGGTTTGTTATTCCCCACAGAAGGCTTTTCAGAGGTTAGTCTGCATATAATTGAAGGCTTTTTACTTAGTGCTAGTTCTACACAGTTCTAAAACTTAAAATAATTAAATAACTTAATATACAAACTCCATCAAGTATTTGTAAGGAATAAGGCAATCAGAAAAAAATAATTCTAACATGTTGTTCTTATATTTCCTATTGATGGCTCAAAATTAATATTCCTTAAAGTTTTTAATTAAAAATGTTCTGAATTACAAATTCTGAGTATATACAGCATTCTTCTACATCTGGATAGTCTGTGTCTTTATAGCCTACTTTTGAAATACTTTACCACTTGTAGCTTGGAGAATTTTCCTTTAAGTTAAAATCATACCCTTAAACAAGATAGGAAAAGCAAAGACTTAACAAACAAATGTGGTAAAATTCAGTGGGAATGTAAACATGGACTTTTAAATATTAAGATACTATGAGAAACACTAGACAAGTTTTAAAAACAGGGAAAAATAAGAGACGAATTGCAGAGGATTTTAGTAAGACATTTTTTAAAATACACACTTAAATACAAGCATAATACATTGAGGACAAGAGAACCAGGGGAACTTAAACTACAGACCTTACTTTAGAGGGGAGAAAAGAAATAGAATTACTTTGCCTCTGTCTTTACAGAGAAAGAGGGTGGAGATATGCCCAAGTTGGCGGTCAATTTTCCAGGAACGACTGAGAAGCTATAGGTAATTCACAGATAACAGAATTATAAAAAGTTAGATGCAATTACTGTAGGAAAAGCACGGTGGTCCAGACAAACATGCACCCCCAGGTTGTAGAGGAAGTAAAAGCTGGCAAGCCTTTGTATTTTTTCTCCCCACCCCAAGAACAAAACACAGGAAACTGCAAATGGTTGGAAAAGTGGAAAAAAACCTTTAAAAGTTTTCTTTAAAGAAAAGGATCACGGGGCAAAGCAGGAAGCAAAAAAGGCTATAAACTTCAAACATCACTGCTGGGGAAAGTCTTGGAGGAGGCCAGCTTAAGGGAATGACTGGTCAGCACCTGGATAAGCACATGTTGAGTAAGGAGGGCCACTAAGAATCAGGCAGGGGACTTCATGCTCAACTAACCTTTTGGAGCTCTTTGAAGAATTATGCTATGACGGACAAGGGAAACTCAGCGGATTTTAAAAATAGCATTAAGAAAAGGTTTCGCATAAACGGTCACAGGAGAGAGTCATGGCAAGAAGGATTAAAGAAAAAGAAAGGAAAAACTAGTTCAAGCACAAAAGCAGAGTAGCCAAACCTTTTTTGTTTCCGAACCTGAAATAAAACTGTTAAAGTGGAGTGTTCTCAATAACTAGCAAAAGCACCTCCAGTGCCTTAAGGCAAAATATCTGCTATCTAGGGAGTCTCAAGCAACATGTTCCCTGAACTATTTAACCATGAAGCCATCTTGTCTAAGAGACTGCTGACCTGTTTGTTACACATCTTTTTACACAAACGTACAAACTAAAATGTAACAGTGAAGTGCACAACCTCCTGGTGTTAAAAAGTACAAAGACAAAGGGTTATTTTAGATTAGCAGAACAATTAATTAAGTTGTAAGATGCAAGCAGCTGTCTGAAGGGTCCTCAAGCATTCTTCACTAGATATACCTTAAGGATAAGCATGTGCCAAGCATCAACAGAAGCCTTCCTGGCCCTTTCCTTGTACTTTATTCCTTACACATGCCTTGTCTTCTTATATGTTTATTTAAAAACCCAACACTGGTTTCTTCTAATTGATTCTTCTAATTTCCTCTGAAATTTATCACTACAAACTCCCTTCTCTTTACTAAGCTTGCCAGCAATGAAAGCTGTGCACCTAAGGTGAGGTTTTGTTTATTTGTTATTGGGAGGTCACACTGTGCAGGACACTTCATGGAGGCCTCACAAACCAATGATTCAGTGAAATATTGCTTATCAGTATTTTGCAGAGCATTTTGTTCTGTGTTCTGGACATACTAGATGGAGGATGAAGCACCTAAAATACCCAACATTGGTCTTCTGGTGGGAAATAAACACAATAATCAGTGGCTTCTTTCTTTCTACCTGCTGCCTTTGAATATGAAATGTTGGTTTCCCTTGAGAAGACACCACATAATATTACAGTGTATTGTCATATTGCACGTCTGAAAGACAAGACTGCAATCTCTGTGCTGGACCAGACTTTTAAAACTACGCATTTTCAGGTTTGGGAGTGGACAAGTTGTGGTATTCGTATCTGAAATGAGAGGACTGCAAGGACACGCTTTCCCAGCTCAATCTGAAATGCAGAGATGGAAGCATCAGTATACATTTTTTCCTGTTTGACTCAGATTTCAGAGGTCAGGGGAAGAGATTTAAGCATTTCAAGGTTTCAGATTTCAGTTTTGGCAAGAATAGTCTTGGTATTGGGGCCTTTACACTTTCTAGTGTATGACCTTTCCCAATTCATCAAGGAAGCTCTTCAGCTGTGACTTTTTTGTTCAGCCAATCTACAGACTGTTAATCTCTAGACATGACTAAATAGCACAGGTGCACAGCTCTGGAAACTGGTGTGAGCAGCACCCCACTCCCTGATGGAACGACAACCCCTAGGTCACGGTTAGCTGCCCAAACTCATCCTCATGGCATCGTCTGCGTTCTTTGCAGGAGGAGCTAACACAGCAAAGCACATGTTGAGACTTGTAAGCACGTGCACGAGGTCCAGTCACAGCACCAAGGATGAATTTGTGGTACAGAGTCCTCCTCTTTTCCTAGAGAGAGTCTTGTCTGCACTGCTCAGGCAGGCTATTTCTCATTAAGAGACACCAAAGCAAGGACTGATGAAACACTTTCAAAAAAAGCTTCTGACTTACAACAGTGAACCAATCTATTTAGTTAAGAGCACTAGTATGGTATTTGGCCCTGGATGATTTTCCAAATCTACCACCTGTTCTCCTCTTCCAGTTTTTTTAAAGCTATTCTAAGGGTTCTGGGGTAGTTTTATTACAATGTTGAGGAAAATTCCTAAATTCTATCTAACAAACAAGCAATTATTAAAACACAGATACACCAGTTCCTGCTAACCATCCAACATCTGTAGCAGGTTTTCATTATTAATTTGGTATTTGCCCAAATAGCTTAATGATTTTTGATGTGTACTTGTTCAGCTTGCAGAACTATTTGGTTTACAAGAATTTAGACGCACTGTCAACTTTAGAAGTACAGCTTGGAGCCCCTCACTCCAGTCCCAGACTTAGCTATCTGCTCTACAAGCACAACTCTTATCCTTAAGTGCAGGCTTTTAAGCTTTGTTATTTAATAAGAGTAGCACACAACTGACTAAGGGTCTCCAGTAAGGACTGGTTCTACTGCTTTTGCTGTTCTGTCAAAATAATAATTGTTTTTATAAGGTATTTTTCTATCTCTTCAGTGTTTTTTTCATTATATTACAGATTTCAGGACTTCAGTGCGCAGTAAAACAGAAACTTTCTTCACCTCAAACTTTTTTCAACCTCAGGACAATATGGTAACTCCAATAATTTTTTCCCTTCTAGATGCATGCCAATACTGTAAGAAACAGAATTCCCAACTCAGCTGCAGGAAATGAGTAAAAAGTCAGTACTTCCCTTCATTCCCAACAATCAGAAAGCCAAAGTGACATTTTTTGCGGGGGGCGGGGGGAAATGAAAGAAAAGAAAAATGGGTTTGAACTGTCTGGTGTGAAAAGCTATGAATAGAGACAATTTCAAACACTAATTATTGAGTGACCTGATAAGTCTGATTTCCTGTTCACCCCCTGGTATCACTGCTAATAAAAGATCAGCTTGATCAGTTGCACACTGAGCCAGGGAAGCATGAAGTATGGTTATGAGCTAGAATTTTATTTCAGGTACAGCAAGGAATTTTGAATAAGCCTACTGGAATAAATCCCCAGTATTTGGGAGTGGCACAGAATAGCAGATGAAAAGATACTGAATGTAAAGTATGTTGTATCTGTGACACAAATCTTTTGAATAAGGCACCATACGATATCAAGTGAAGTCCCATGTAGGACAAAACTGATCTGATTATCCTACCATTCTGAGATTCAATAGCTAAGAACCATCTTTTAAGAAAAAAACAAATCTGAATGGTTTCTGGACTGATCAAGAACAAAGGGAAACTGTGGAGGACCACAAAAATCAAAGAGGGATCCCCTAAAATCCTGAGTTCTTGTTCACATTTATGAGTAACAGCTGCTACAGCAGAAGATGTGTTTTTCCAAGGAAACTCTTGGGCTGACATCCTTGAGCCAAGTCTCTACTAGCCACTGAGCCAACTGACAATACAGGGCCAATAAAGTAAAAAGTCTAATTTCACTTCTTTTGCTTCAGAATGTCATGCAGCTCAGGAAGTTATGCCCTCATTTGTTGTAAGTAATGGTGCTGAATATTATGACCAAAGAAATATGAAAGCTTTGTGGGATAAGTTAAAAAAAAAAAAAAAAAAAAAAGTTCTGTTGCAAGTTGAACTAGTTGAATAAAGGACTGAGAACTTTTTTCTTCTGAAAAGGATGAAATTTTTTAATACAAAATCCCAAAGTTTTAGAAATTAAATGTCACAAGACTGAAGCATTATGTGAAAACAGATTTCCAACTTTGCCTTTGAGGGAGGAACCACAGAGAACACAAGTTAAAGCCAAACTGAACAAAGGATTTTCTTTCTTTTGGCACACTGCCTATTGCTAAACCATGTACATTCACTACTTTTGCTCCTTGGAATGTTTTTCTTGTTGTTGTAGTTTAGAGGCAGGTGGGGGAAGCCCACAAGGACATAAGCCAGGCACACTGCTTTTGAATACAGGCTGAAATACACCTTTGAAGAGTTTTTAGAACTATATTTCATTGGTAATCTTAACAACGTAACTAGGACTTAAAATAGCATGTTTGAGGACAAAGATTAGGTGGTCTCCTTATACACGTGAAACTATAAAACAGGATAACAAAACTAGATTTCATTCTTCTGCACAGAGGCTGCAGAGGAACTGTTGATTATATCAGGAGTAACATAACTACCATTTTTTCATTTTACTTTTTTTTAATACCCAAATCATGTCTATTTACCAAGAGCTACTTATGCTATTTATGAACACTGACTACTTCAAGACTATTAAGAAGTAACTTGAATAGCTGACATTGCAAGGGAAAAATACCTACATTTACTCTTGATAAATGAAAAGTAATATCAGCACCACCGATAAATCAGAGGTTTAACACTTTTTTTATGCCTCAAAAAAATTAATGGTTTTGATAAATAAAAGTTTCTACTTACACTAGGGACAGCCGAACTTTTCTTACGTTCAGGAATATCAGCCTTATTGGGATTGCTGGCATTTCCAAGCATTGGGCTAGCTGGTGCAATTCCTCTTCCTGCAACAGCACTACTACTGGATTTTCTTGACTGAATTCCTTCCTCTTTGAGGTCACTGTCTGTAGTACTAGTCTGGCTTCTTTTGGGATATGCCACTACTGAGGGGATGGACGGTCCAGCTTAAAAAACAAACAAAAGAAACAGGAAAAAGGTTTTTCTTCTCAGAAGTTCAGTAACTATTTTTTATCACAATGGAAATGTATTCACGCATGAGAACCAACACAGTTAACACTGGGAATCAGAGTTGCAAAAAGATAATTAAATTCTTGAAATAGATGTATTTCAGGAAACAGTAGAATATTATGAAAAACAAAAACCTTGCAAGGTGAAGGTGCTACTTGATTTCCATGAAGGTTTCAAGAATTTAATTGTTTTCACATTTGGCTTGCTAGAACAACCCTTTAGAGTCATCTTAAAGACACTTAACAAGTAACTGACTCATTCAAACCAGACCATCCCTCATTAGCCCAGTGCTGCCATACATTGTTCAAGCCAATTTCCCAAGAGAGGCAGCTGGTGACACAACCCTGGGGCACCAGCAGCACTGATGGCTGTTGGGCTGTGCTCCTGCAAGGGCCAGAAGTGGCAGCGGTTCACACCAGCCTCCCCACATGTGCCAGGAACAGGCAACTGCTCCCAACACCTGAGAATGAGGAAGGCCTTTCAAAAGTGCCAAGCTTCCTCTTGCTTTAACAGCCTCTTGGACACTGGCTAAGGTCAGTGGGATGTGTCAGGATTGTGTTTTTTGACATCTCACACCTCTGAAGAGGATACATCAAGTTACACCAACTTCTTATTAAAAACGTCTTATATAAAACTAAGCGTTTTAATAAGAATTAATCAAAAACTGTATGTATGTATATACACAAAGAATACATATAAGTACATAGACATAGAATAGGTAGCTCAAACATGTTTTACAAGTATCAAAACCCCCAGTAATTGTCATCCCAGAAGACTCCCCAAGGAAAGCAACCTCTGAATGCAGAGAGTATAGGCCTAAACTGGGATTCCTTTCATGAGTTAAGTGTCTGGGCAGGAGGATGTTTAAGACATTTAGAAAATCCTAATCTACTATACTGCACTCGCATTAAGCAGAAGAGTTATAAGTTTGTCAGAGTCATTGTTCTTTAGAAATTGAATTCCTGCAGGACAACCAAGTGACACTACCCTCAGGAAACCAGAAATATTGGCAAACTGACATTTCTTCAAGTTTTAGACACAAGCTGACCTACTAGTGTCAAAAGAAAACAAAAGCTGAACAGACATACAAGAGCATGGGAGAGGAGTGCTGTGCTTTTCATGAAAAAGGGGGTTGCAACATTCTCTTCAATTTGTGTAACAAGACTTTGCCAGCACAGTCAGGAATGTAAGGGACAACACAAGGCAGAACAAGAGAATTAAGTTGGTGTATTCAGTGTTGCCTAAAAGCTCTTTTGAAGGCTTTATAACAAAACCAATTTAAAAAAATCAGTTATTTACTGAAATATTTAACCACCACGCTGTGAACTATGCTGTTGTCATCCTCCTTACACTTGGGGGATGGAGGCAAATGCAGAAACCGAGGAGAACTGGAAGTCACTGTACTCTCCAACACTGAAAATGAGAAATGCTCACCGTGATCACTGTACCGCCGCTGTTTCTGGCTAGAAGATATGCTTCTCTGAACTTTGTGATGAGGAGATTGTCCAGTGCTATTATTAAGATCACTACTTGGCCTAACTTTGGCAAGTGAAAGATTGCTGCTGGAGCTTGAATCACTTGCATCCAACTACAATACAAACGAGAGCATTAAAACAAGGAGTTCAGACAAAATAAATGAAAATTTCCCCCATATTCTGGGAGCAGGAACAGGGAGGTGGAAGATGGCTCTGCTACATGGGAGATTAGTGATGGCATGGGCAGTTGCTTAGAGGTCCCCCCTTCTTTAAGAGCGTTGCACAACTGTCTTAGGTAAAACTCAGCGGAATTTACAGCTCCTCAAAGGATAATAAGTAAAGAAAATCCTTTTGTCCTTTCAGAACTCTCCCCTCAGAGTTCTCCAAGATTTTAAAAGGAAGAGTGGATAGACTTTGTAGAGGCCACCACACCAACTCCTCCAGGAAAGGAACCAAGAGCATCTTACTGATGCTGAGCCCTCTCAGCATCATATTGCAAGGTAATCTACAATGCAAGAACTTTTTCAGGTTGTTCAGTCCTGCTCCTTGGTTCTCTTAAAATAGTTACAGCTGGCACACTCAAACCTGAGCTCCTAGACTAGCCAGGACAGTAACTGCACACAAAATCTTTCAGAGGAGCTGCTGAACAAACACAGCAGTTCTGGAGAGTCTGAAGGCAAGAGTTTAAAATCAGGTGAGAAAAAATCTGATTAATTTGGACTGCTGATGCATAGAACAACATGACTTTAAGTGCAAAGGATTTTTGTGCAGGAATGCAATGCCTAAGTAACTGACTTAATTTTTGCTCCTAACTCTGCTAAGGACACTTTCTGATTTCCTTCTTTGCAGTTTTAAGCATGGTACTTACCTCTGATGACTTCCTTCCTAGCAGTAAGTATGTAGCTGTGATTTCATCATACTTCATTTTACTAAGAGATTCTTGAATTTCTTCTTGAGAATATCCCATTCCTACCATAATATCTAAAACCAAGCAGACATTCTGTAAGTAACTGAAACTCTGATGTTCAGGCTGGCTGAATGTTAAAGAGAAAGGATGGAACATTTAAAGAATTAAACCAGAATTATTAATTTTGAGAACATAAACCTGATCAAGTATCAGTTTTAAAGGATTAGTTACCTTTTCCAAATGTTAAACAAATACAGAGTGGTGGTAGTTTGCATCATGTAAACAGTGTCCTACTCTGGAAAGTACTCAATTACCTATTCTTTTCTGGTCCGAGATGTCTAGTTCTGGTTCAACAAAAGGTTTAAGTTCATCCTCCTCATGCCCTGCATTGATCCACCTGTCCTTCATGATTTGCTATGAAAAAAAAAAAGTTTTGTTAGTACAGTACATTTAACAGCAAAGAAAACAAGATGTGGGAAGAACAACTTCTTTATGCAACAAACACTAACGTCTTTCCTAGTTTTTATTTTCCAGAATATTTCCAGCACCTATTGCTTTGGCCCAGTGAGGAGAACCAACTATGCACATTAAGCCGAGTTTCTCCCCAGTCAGCTGCATTCCAGTTCACAGCTGAGAGCCAAAAGCCTGCAACGCTGACCAGGAGCAGCGTGACAACTTTGACATGTCTTGGAATTCCAAGCTCCACCAAATAAGTCCATGGAAGCCCTGTTTTGGTCTTTTCTCCTTCAGGATGGTACAAAAGACAACTACAGCAGCCAATACCTCCAGTTCACAACTTGAAATGTGGAAAACAATGGTGGATCATCCATTAATGCAGGAATCCACAAGCTAACCACCAAGAAAAGTTATATGGCATAGAAAGTGTAGTGACACATTGATTTTGAAAGTAACTGGAGTCAGGAGTGTTACAACCCCAGTAAATAGTACCTTTGAAGAGTCATGTGCTTTCATCAACAATCCCACCTCCAAAGCCCACTCCAAATATACACAGGAACAGTATGGAAATAATAAGTTACAGCTCAAAAATGCAGTTTGCAAAATATATGGAGCTTTCTGATGAACCTCATTTGTGCAATTACCTCTAGAGTGCCTCTTTTTGTTGGGTTTAGCACCAGGAAACGTTTGAGGAGGTTTTCACAGTCTGTGGACATGTAGAAAGGAATCCTGTATTTTCCCCTTAGCACTCTTTCTCTAAGTTCCTTGGAACAGAACAAGAATAGACAGTAAGTTGTAAGCAGCAAGTCACTTAAAATATTAGATAAACATGGCCAACACCGTCTACAAAAAGCTACCTTTAAGTTCTGTCCATCGAAGGGAAGAGATCCACTCACGAGAGTATAAAGAATAACACCTAAACTCCAAACATCTACTTCAGGTCCGTCATACTTCTTCCCTTGAAAGAGCTCTGGAGCAGCATATGGTGGGCTGCCACAAAAGGTGTCCAGTTTATTTCCAACTGTAAACTCATTGCTAAAACCAAAGTCAGCTATTTTAATGTTCATATCTGCATCTAGCAATAGATTTTCAGCCTGGAAGAGAAAGAATGGTTTGTGAAATGAATAAAATACTTGATTTAGAATGCTATTGGTTGCAAATATTTCTCAAAACTTGCTATAACATGTGTAAATAAATAAATAAAATACAAAGCTCAGTATAAACTGTATTTTATAAATAATAAAAGTTGCATCCACACATACAGAAGCTGACACACATACACTGCACACACTTTTTCCTACTCACCTTGAGATCTCTATGAACAATATGCTTTTGATGGCAATACTGCACTGCAGATACTATCTGGATAGAAAACAAGCCAAATTATGTAAGTGACATCTCAAAGAAGCAGGAGCTTTAATCAAAGATTTCAACATTTATTACGGAAGTCAACATGAAGTTATCCAGTCAGAGCTATATAACCAACTCCTACAGTGACCAGTATATTTGGGAAAAAGCTGCTGAATAACTTTGATGTTATTTGATCTATTTGCTTTCTCCTATACTTGAGCGAGGATTTTGTTTTTCCTGTGTGGCTAATTATAGACCAGTAGAAGCAATGACTTTCAGAAAGGTTACTGAAGTATTTCCATTCCAATACTGTATACAGCTATAAAAGCTTTCCCCCTAGACTGAGGTTTTCCAGGCCCTCTCCAAAGGTGATTTTTCATGCCATGCTGGAGAGAAAAGGGTAAGAAATGGGCTTTGATTACTTGAGAAACTACTGGGAAACAGCCTGTTTGTTAAAATTTATGCAATGAGAAGCAACTATGCATCTGACAGAGATCTGCTGTCTAAGTGCATATGGTTTAGTGTATTTTGTATACCATAGCAAACTCAATGGAAAATCTCTCTTATGTCTCTCAAGCGTAATGGAATAATTTCTTCCATCATAATTTCCAAATATGAAGTTTTCCTGCTTTATATAGCAAACCATATAAGCTATTTACACAGTGCAGTGCCATAGTACATTGCTTCTTACATTCATAAGCATTGCTGCAGAACTTCACATGTATGGAAAAGCTGGATAAAGCATTATTATTACATGACCAGAAATGCAGTCAAATTAATTTTGTCATGCATGCATGGTCAGAATTGAGGCATATGTCATGACTTCTTAAAATAAGTGAACTGCACATAAAAATAGTAACTGCATTTAAATAAATGTATTTTCAGTCTTCATTCAACAGTAAGAATACTTCCCCAGCAGAAAGATGAGGTAGCATTACTGTTACAAGAAAATAACTCAGGATCAGATCACAAGTTTAGTGTAAGGATCTTCCTGTACTGGTAAGGTGCAAAGGTTTTCTCCCTCAGCATTTAGAGCACATGAAATGTATTGGAAGGTTCTTGGTAGGTCAAGTAACTGATGCCCCAGTAAACTTTCTATTTGAAACTTAAGCACAAAAGTGATCTTTGTGCCCTGTAATACTGAATCACTCAGATGCAAAACGTCACCTTAGAAACCAAGCAGATGGTGGAAAGCTCTATTTCCATTCCCTACACCTTCAGTCTGGTTTTGCTTTTTCCTTTATGTACTGGCTCCCTCTTTCAGATTCCAAGTTCAGCTTTTTACAGTTACTGAAACTGCCAAAGTGCTCCCATGCCAACCACTTGTCCCATCCTTTTGGTTTCCCTTCCTTTTCTCTCTGCTACCATTACCTCAGTGCTAGTCACAAGCTCACTCAGCAGGGGCTTCCAATGCTGACAGCATGACAAACACCTCAGGCTTTATTCAGGATTGCAGAGACACAGCACTATTACCACTCATTCCTGAACTGCTTTATTGTGACTGCCTAAGAGCAGAAGGTCGAGCAGATGATCAATCAGTAGTTTCCTCTGGAGATGCTTTTGAACTCCTCTGCATTGCAACAGGATGGCACAGAGACTGAGAAGTGAGTCCAATCCACATGAAGTGAAATAATGCAATGTGTAGGACATTAATAATTGAAGAGCAGAAGTCATAACTGAATGAAAAATAGCACAAAGCAAGGCTGCACCAGACAGAAACCCTTGTCTTCCATCTTCCATCACTGTTTCCACTGACAGCTCCCTCACTTCCTAATCTTCTTGTGTGAAGAATTATCTGACATTTGGCAGGTGAAGAGGGGAAAAAGTATCTGAGCTTTTTTCTAGAAGTAATAATTGGAGCATTGAAAAACTTTTCTAAAGAGTGACTTTAAAAATCTGTATAGATAGAGGTTTTGAAGAAGTTCTCTCTAGGCAGAAGAACCATTCTCTAAAAGGATTGAATGACAAAAGGATAAATGACCTCTCAAGGCCCCTTCCACACTGCTAAGAGGATTCTGTTGCTTTACTGGAACACACCAATAAGATGTATTTTGTGGATTTTATAATTTCCTAAGATCTGTCCTAACATCTACTAGCATTAAAAATTCTAAACTGCTTCAGCAGGGAAACAGTGAGAAGCCTGAAAAAGGCCAGATTTTTTTTTCTTGTAGAAAAGAGAGGGAAATAATACACACAAATTTAAGGAGACTTGCTGCTCTGCATCAGATTTTTCTGTGGAAAAAGGATGAAACTGAACCAGAACTGCCTGGAAGTCTGTCATGGAGAAGAAGAGTAAGGTGACATTAAGAATGCAAAACATTCTCAATTTGAATTTCTCACACATGGCTACACAAAAGGAGTCTGAAATGGAGAACTGTATAGCACAGTTGTATTTTTAGACTTTGTACCTTCTCCTGTGCTCCTTGTCAAGTGCAACTGGAATTATATGATTACTGTCTTTTACATTCTATTTCCCTGCTAAAAACCTTACGTATGTTTAACAAAATGGACTTAAAATTGTTCCTTTTTATCTTTAACAAGCAAAGAAGGGAGAATTACCAAATTCTGCTCTTTGCCTGCTAGAGAGGAAATGTCTCCTCAGACAAAACAAGTGTTTGATCAAGAAATCACATCTACTGAAAGAAGAAACGTAATCTGAAAATAAGATATCATACAACCTATTCTAAGAAGTAATCTCAGTATCATGGCACAACTGTTTTTTCAGTTTAGAAAGAGCCACTGTTTGCTAAAACAATTAACAAATTAAAAAAAAAAAAAGACTATTATGTCATAAGTCTCTATCTAACAGAGAACAGCTGCGTTGCATCAGATAAAAGGTCTGCAGAGTGCATTCTTCCTCCAACAATGACCAAAAGCTATACAAAGCTATCCAGGACTACAGTAAGGTGAAATTAATAGTTTTATAACCTGTGAACCCAGCAAGATCTAGGTGCCTTGTTTCCTTTGACACTGTCCCTCAGCCCTAGCTTTAGTATCTAATAAATTGCCAAGCTCTCATCAAAGTTACCTGACTTTCATTCAGCACAAATGCTTTCCTCTCTAGCAAAGCCCAATCAGCTTGTGCTACAGTTTATCTCCTCTGCTTATTTCTAGGGTTCTCTCTTTTTTTCTCAGTAACTGAGGCTTTTGAAGCTTTCAAGAACCTCCGTTCTTTGAGATCAAGGTCCTCTAAAACTGGATGAGCTCAGCAGCCAGGAAATCAGCTGCTGGGGGAGGACAGAGCACAGCTGTCTGCACCAGAAGACTTGCAAGAAGAAACTGAAAAGCGTATTCCAGTGCATACAAGTGAGGCCATCTATATATCTTTATAAGCAGCATTTATTCTACTGAAATAAAAAACAAAAACAACAAACCAACTGACAAAATCATCAGGCTGAGAGTACATAAACCCAATTCTTGATGGGTCAAATACCTAGCTCAGCAGGTAACTCCCTTTTAAAATCTTTTCCTCTACATTTCTTTTTGAAAATGAAGCTACATACATCCTGTACTACCCACATTATCCCATAAGATTAAGCACTAAGTGTACCTGTAAAACATGTTTGAGCTGTTTCTGTAAGCTTTCACTTAAAGGGGAGTAAAACTGTTAGAAAAAGATGGGTATTTATTGAAGAAACATGCAATTTTAATGTAATTACTGCAAGATCTTTTTCCACATAGCTCCTGTTGAAATAAATTGAGGACTGAGAACAGAGAGTCTAGCAGTAGAAGTTTCCAATATTCACATTTGAGAGAGAACAGTCAGTCCTCTCAGGTTACTCTGAAGCTCTTCAAGTGATATTACAAAGGCAACAGCCAGGGATTTAGAAGAGATGGCTCAAGTGGGAATGACTGTTTCACATCCTACCACTTCTACTCCCAACACAGCACAGAAGCATAAACCAGAAACCTTCAATCACAAAGGAAAGCTCTCTACCTACCAGAACATCAAAGTGAAAGCAGCAGCTTTAAAAAGACATTTAAGACTTTGCTGAAGAGTAAGAAAAGTTTTCCTTACTGTCAAGATGCATAACTCCAATAATCACAAATGATTTCTGTGGAGATGGAAGTCTACAGCTGCTTTTGGGTGGTTTGGTTTGTTTGGTGGTGGTGGTTTTGGTGTGGGTTTTTTCCCCCAAAAAGATTAAAAAAGGTAAATATAAGCTTTAGTAAGATGAGAGAAAACAAAGTCATTGATTTAGTTCCTGGTAGTCTCATATCTTACATCACATTTCTTTTATGTATGGCTACGTTAAGAAGTGAAACCATCAGAGCCTCCCCTTCCAACAGGGAAACTGACTGATACATCACTGCCACAATCCAGCAGTTTAAAACCCCTACATACCATTCAAAAAACCATTCTTGTCCCTGCTCATTATTTTCAAGAGTCATTAAGCTGGAGCATTATTTTGACATTTAGTATTTTTCACAACATTACCAAGGTTATCCAAGTGAACAAAGGAAACAGACATCTACAAATTTCAGCACAAGAGCAGAGAACAAGTGTATAAGACTGGTCAGATCTGAAACTCTAGATGCTACAAGAGCAGTCATTCGGATTTAAATTAGTTATGCAAAAATATCTGGTTGTGTTCAGTACTGCTTTACTGTAGAATGGAAATGCCTTTTGCAGACCAATGAATTTCCAACATCTTGGAAGGGCTAGCTTATTTAACATAAAGAAAACTAAAAAGTCTAGAAATTACTTTTCTGTGACTTTTTAGAATTACTAAACAATATCTTCTCATGTAAGCAGATGAGAGTGAATGGATCCCTACCAGACACACCATCTGCATTTTGAAAGTGGTCTGTTTGTAGCCTGTTACATTTGTACAACGTCCAAAATGTTACAGACCTGCTGAGCTAAGGACATATGAAATCAGCCCAGAGGAAATGCATTTTGGAATGGAATACACTTCCAAACCAAGCAGTCTCTGTGTTCTGGCACTCCTGCACACCCTGGCACTGAGCACTAAGGAAACCAGCACCACTGAACAGACTACTGACTCCTTCAAAGTACTGCTGTGACCTAAGTTTTTTCTTACTCAGAGCTACAAGCCCACAACATGCTGAACACTGCTGTAAGTCAAATGCAAAGGACAGCTGTTTTACTCTTTTCAGCATTAAAAACAGGGGTGAGGGGAAAGCTGACATACAGGAATGTTATACATACCTGTCTAAATTTAGCTCTAGCCTCCTTTTCCTTCATTCTTCCATGTGCAACCAGATAGTCAAACACCTCCCCTACAATTCAATAACAAGATATATTAATGCCAATTTCAGAATGTAGAGATTCCTCTCCAGCAGTTGCCCACAACAGCTTCACCAGAATGACTGCACTTCAAGTTTATGATTACAGGGCAGCTCAAGAGAACAAGGCACAACTGCTGTGCAATTTACTATACCATCACCTCTTTTACAAGAGAATAATGAGTGACTGGATATACACAAAGGAAACCATTTCCTTCCAATTACTTAGGATAGAAACTGAGCAGCATACTTCTGTTTTGTAAACAAAGATGACATCTACCCCTTCACAGACTTTCTCACAAGAGTTTCTTTTGCTTCAGGAAAAAAAAAAGCTTCATATATGAGAACAGTTGATAATGTTTGCAAATGCCATCATACCAACACTAGATTTTAATTTGCACATGTGTATAAAATGGTTCTAAACAAAATCAGAAACCTTAGCTTCAAGATAAGCTTGGAAGAGGTTCCAAGGAGGGTCAAAAAGAATGAGCACAGCAGGACACGCTGATAGAATCCCTCACACAACCATCGTACCTTTTAAATACACTGAACAAGCCCACTGTTGTATGGCTGGATATAACTAAAGATTACTGAAGATCTACTGTGTTCCAGTTTTCCTCTCTTTTATCAATGCAGTCATTTTAGAGCAGGTCAATACAGACTACAATGTTTGAGCTTTAGGTGCAGGCCACTGGCCCATGAAACAGACATGTTAGTGAAAGCATGGGAGATTTTCTTTACTAAAAACCAACAGTCATGAACATAAGAACTACAAACATAATAGCAACAGTTTCTAAAAGTCCTCACTAGTATGCAAAAAACATAAAAACTTCAGAAGTGGTTCAAATATTTAAACATTCTCTACTGAGCAAAGAAACATGGTTTTGTAGACAGCCACCTCACAAGGGAAGAGCTGAGTAATATCATATTTATTTTTTTAAAAGATGCAACTCCACCAGATTGCAATAAAAAAAAAGGAGTCACACTGCAGGAGAAGTAACAACTGAGCCATCTGAGGGAATGTCAGGGCTTCCTATAAAATAGTCTTCCCTCTGCAGTGTATTCTTTAATACTAAACTCAGATCTAACTCTCTCAGCTGTATTTCACAGCTGTTTCTTAAAAACCTTGAAGCAGCAAACCTGAACACTTCTTCATAATTCAGGGAAAAAGACAGCACAGGGAAAGAATTATCCCAAATTTATGTGAAGCATTGCAGCTGTAGCAATAATGTCTTTCATCCTGCAGCCAGAGTTCATGCTCATCATGATGACCTCTACCTTGATACAGAGAAAACAGGGAAACTGATGCCTGCCACTGTGATTACAAGCCATTCCTGTCTTGCAGAGCATGGCACATCAAAAGGTGCTGCTCTTGGCCTCTGATATACAGTAAGTACAGTGTGGTACTTACCTCTCCCTCATCACCCTATGAAAGGTCCTCACTCTTTTAGAGAACCACTGGCCTTTCTACCTCCTAGAAGCCAATCACTAGATGGCAATAAGACTTCACTTTTAAATCTAGTACTATCAAACAACACGGAGATGTCTCCCCAAACATCTGTACTAGTCAATATTTTAATGGTACAATAAAATACTCTGTTCCTTTTTAAGCAAATCTTGGCTGAGCATTTAGGAAGCTGCTGAAAGAAAACACAGGTTGACAGAGAATCCTGCTTTATTTGTAGCAATTGATTAAACTTCACATAATCTAATGTAAGAGTCTGAATTCAACACTGATTTTCAGAGAAAAAAGTCTCCTTCCTAAACTGAAAGAAAAGCTTCAACTGTTTGAGATTCCCGGATGCTGGTGCTCAAGGGTCACACTGACAATCTGAGTGATACTAAGTTCTAGCCAGGAAAGAGTATCTTAAGCCTGAATACCTTAATTCTGGCTCTGGTGAAAATATCTGACACTGCATGATGTGCATTTTTCCATCCCCTCTACAATCAGGAAGAGCATTTAAGCTCCTCCTAAAATGGCATAAGGCTAAGTCAAACAATCCTTGACAGTAGAAGGCCTGTGATTAAGATATGTAAGATGTCATCAACATCTAAAAACAGAAGTTGCAATGCTCATCCTTTTGAAAGCAACAGTTAAAGAAACATAGAAATGTTTCATCTGAACATGATCTTACCAAATATCTTATACAAAATAGGACACCAGAGGCATGGAACTGAATACAATAAATTGAGAACGTTAGTATTTGTTACTTGAGGAATCAGTGGCTGAGAAGATTCCCAATTAATTTGAGTTGTGAAAAAAAAGCAAATGTTACTAAGTTGTAGTAATTTTAGAAGCTGGTTTTACAAATTACATTTATTATTTATGTTGACCAAACAAGTACCAGGGAATATTAAAGATTTTGCTTAATATTTTACACTACCTTGACATACATATTTGCTGAAAAAGAAAGCAAAACTTTCAAGAAACCAAGTGCTTTCTCTCGCTTGGCAATTTGCTTACATGTGTCACTGCAGCAAAGAGGTACTTACCCCCACTTGCATATTCCATTATTAAATAGAGAGTTTTTTCAGTTTCAATGACTTCAAATAGCTTCACTAGAAAAGAAAGACATTTAGTCATCAGTTAACTAGCTGCAGAAGTATTATGTTAACCCGCCACAGAATTCTGTGAGAAAAATACCCAGACTGTTTGCTTGCCACTTGATTTACTCTAAAGAAGCTTTTTCTGTTGAATGTTCCTATGCAGAGAATACTGTAACACATTTGGTCAACTCACACAGAACAACATATTCTCAAGAAACAATACTTTACTTCTGTTACATGGGAACATAACTAAGCTAAGCAGAACATGCACAGATTTTAGAATTAGAAACAGGCACATATGTAGACTGAACTGACACGTAGTGACAAATCAGTTACCAGTCACTGACAGTCCCATAGGAGCACCACATCATTTAAATATACAAACTTCAAGAAATTCTTGACCACTTCTTGGTTTTGGTGTACATGCTAATTTTTAATGAGAGCCTAAATTCAGTCAAAAATCAATACTATACTCAAAAAAAGCAAATCTGTCAGTTGGCTATGCAAATAGCAGTTCGGTGCAAAGGGACCAAAATGTTTATTTTACTATTATTTTTTAAACACACTATTCTGAAATACTATTTACTATTTCACAGTAAATTCAGACTCTAGTGCAAAATAATCTTTTAAATCTTCTAAACTCATGCCACAACAATCTTAACAGTGAAAAAGTGATAATTTCTCCAGAGATAGAAATTATGTGAAAGAAACAAGATACCTATATTTGGATGATTTAAGATCTTCATTATTCTTACTTCTCTAAAGAGCTGAAATAAATATAAAATATGAAATAAGTTAATAAATCACTAACAAACAGCCGTTCTCCTGAAGGACTGATGACTTTGATACAGTCATTTTAACACAAAGGGCAAACATTATTAGCATTTCAATGATGTTCTTGAAATAAGCACTTATGGAAGGGAAGAGTTAAATGCCTGCTTAACACCCCTCCCAAACAAATCAACCCTCAAAAACCTGAAAACACCCATGAAGGACTCTGGACAGCTCAGGATAGAAGTGACCTTAGCCCTGGGGTTTGCAGACTTTTGGGGTCAGAAGACCATTGTGAGTCCATGCAGCTTCCTTCTGACCATCTCACACATCTTTCACTACCTTCACAAAAAGTACAATTCCAAATTTTTGTGAATCCCCACTGGAGCACGTTTAGAACACCACTGCAGTATGTTACTGGTATGAACTCAGCATTCTTCTGGATTCTAAAGCCCAGGAATTACTGTGCTACAACAGCAGATCACAGGTGAAAAATCAGTTGTTCATATTGTGCAAAAATCATGTTATCCAACTACACCAGTAAGAAGCAAGTTCTAAGGAGAGAAGGGAAGAAAAGGCCACCCATCAACCCTTCAGAAGCATTCCTGCAAGGAGGCACAGCAGCATCTAGTCCTGGGTCTGCCAGCACAGCTCCACTGACTCACTTCCAGACACAGCCTCAAGCCTGCCCAGACAGTGCAACACGCTGAACGTACTTGCCAAAATTAATAGGGCAGAACGCAAACGGTGTTTTCCTGACCACATCGTGCTGCTTCCCTTTATGCAAGCACTCGTGTCAACCCTGGCTGACACACAAGGTACAGGGATTTTTTAACAGAAAAATCTCACAAAACACGTAACTCCCCCATAGAAAAGCACTCCATCTCTAGCCCACCCCAGCAGGATGGTGGTGAGGGACAACTGCCCATATTAAGCTGAAGGATGACATTATATCCCCTTTCCTAAATCCAGAGATAGTGTACTGATTGTAAGGATATTGTCATGTTTCATGTCCTGTCTGTCCCTCCCCCACTGCCAATACTGTGAAGAAGGCTTTGCTTGAGTAACTATTTCTGAACATTTCAAATTTGCCTGTCACACAGAGCAAACTCTGCCCTTCTGCAACTGAATAAAAATATGGAGTGACATTTAACAAACTAGAAATTAAAGCAAAGTCATGACTTAATGGGTTAATTATTTTCACTTCTCAAAACTCTTCTGCAAAAGACAATTGTAAGATATACATAAATTCATAACTGTAATACTAAAAATGCCACAGGTGGTGTTACTGCAATATAAAGCATTGCTTTAAACAAAGCTGGTAAATAGCAGATTAATTAATTTAGAAAATTTTAAAAAAGTAAATTAAAAACAGTTCCAAGATAAAATATTTTTGCCAAAAAACTTGAAGCACAAATACTCTGGTATTCAGAAAACCAAAGAATTGTCTTTTTATGCACTACACTACATGGCAGCCAAGTGTGTAGCTGTTCTCCCTCTGCAGCTTGCCCATGCCACCCTAAGACTCCAGAGGGCTGATGTTCTTCAGTGTCAATTATTTTCTAATAGCATGCTTGAAAAAATGGGAGTAATCAAGAGGTTTTATTAGAAACCTAACACAAATTTCTACAGGAATATCAGTAACCTAACAGATCATATAGAACTTCATGCAAAGAGACTTTAGCAGAATAGAAGTCCACAGCTCCAAGGGAACGAAGACAGGAAAAAAAAACCCAAGAGTTTTGTAAATATGGGATAGGGATAACAGCATTGTTAATTACAGTAAGGAAAAAAACTACCACTGGAAGATTTGGCTCAGGTCAGATTTCAGATAAAGTGAAGAAATTTGGTATGTCTACACATATTAGTAACTCAAAAAGCTTGTAGGTGTATTTACTCAATAACAGCAAAGAAAAGGTGAAACTTTGTAATAAAAAAATAAGTTGAAACATTAGAAACAAACAGAAAACAACAGAGTCAACTAAACAAAATCCGTATGCCTTTGTTATTTTTAATAAAAGAAAATGCAAGGGGTGTGTTTTAAATAAATCAATAGGATAAATTCACAACTTGGAGACCAGTTGTTCTAAGCATTCTCTGCTTTTTGGTATTTCAGAATCATAAAATTTCTGCAAATGGCAACATCTGGGGAGCAATCCTCACTGCACTGCCCAGGAGACTTTCTCCCTGCTGCAGCCACAGCTGGGATTGGCACACTACCTGAACACAGAGAAAAAACAAACAGTTTTCCAAATGCTTTTAATTATCTTGTTATCCAAGACTGTGCCTGACACTTTGCTAGATGACAAGCTGCTTAAATTAAATCACGATTGATTGATCAAGTAAATTATTTGCCACGCAAAATGGTTTCAAAACCTCTGTGCGCACGTTTTCTTTATCCTCTAGAGAGGTAAAATTGCCTTCTTTTCTTTTTTAAACTATGTTATTTCTGAAGCTTTTTCATATGTAATTAGACAGGGTAGACTACATCATCTCCCTCTTGATCATCAGGAATTTAAAAGCAGATGAATCTATAGCTATTTTTTCTTGCTTTTCATTCATTTCAGCTAAACTGGTGTATAATATATTCTGAATATTCCATTAATAATTTTAATCACAGCTTATATAACCGAAAACCTCTCATCAGTTTTTACAATTTCAAATAGAGTTTGCTTAATTCATTCTCAATTGATATCTGATATCTTCCACCCCCAATACCCAGGTAAAGGCTTCTGGGTCAGACTCTCATCAAAACACTGGTCCACGAAACGACTACTCTGCTTTACTAACCCAAATGAAGCATGTCAAAAAGCAGCTTCTAAATTATGAGCCATTTGTTCAAGTGGGTGACTAGGAATAAGCTCTTTTAAAAAACAGGCTATTTCTGTCTCAGAGGAAATTAAAAACAAGAATACTTGAGAATAGGATACAACCACCACCAAATTGTAATTTTAGTTAGATAAATGCACTTCAGACTGTGCACCCTTTAGTCAGTTTATCTGTTGTATGTCATTTTGACACAGATGGGGATATCTGCAAATGTCTGACATCATAATATGTATTATAGTTTATTTCTGATAGGGGAATAAAATATAAAACATCATATAACTTTCCCAAAGTATTCTGGACAAAGATTTTACAAATTTCACTCCCCCAAAATATTATGTACATCAGCTTCTAGGAAATCATGTAGTAACTATCATCGCACAATGAAATTCATTGCAAACAGCCAGGTATGATAAAACCTCACACCTCTGAGGCTCCCTGCCCACAGGAACACAGAACAAGGTGTAATGTTAGAAAATGTAATACAAAGGTTCTCAATACAGAAAATATCTTTTTTAGTTTTAGGAACTTACTTAATGAAACTATAAAGGCAGACAACTGAAAACAGTTCTCATCAGTTTAATTTCTAATACTGAGATTAAAAACTACTCCCAGTTTGTTGAACAGCTCATTTTCCGTCAACAGGAGCTCTACAAATGTAGAGGCAAAGACAAACATCCTTAGTCTGCCAAACAAATGCTTTCAGCTTTGTTGTGGTCTGGTCCTTTGAGTGTAAGCCATGTCAGATACAGGAAAAGAATGCCATTTCATTAATGCTGTGAGCCAAAAAACTCAATAAAAAACCCCAATGAACCAGCAATGGAAGCTTTTAGGCTAACTCTCTTTGAACACAGCAAAAGACAGACTAGAAGTGCTCCTGCAGTAGCTATCACAAGACTGCAAAAGTTTATTTCAAAAATACTGAAAAAGTTTACTAAAAAGTGAGTCAGTGCCAGCTGCAGAGCACCAACCTCTCCTGGTCGCCTCCTCCCTTAAAGGAGGAGGCATTTCACAGGATGTTTTCCCAAGCCAGCTCAAGTCTGACCTATGTATTAGGCTTCTCCTGGAAACTGCTCACTGAAATATGCCCTACATTTAATAAAGAGCCTCAAGCAAAAAGCCTTTACACAAAACAAGTTTGCCCCAAACTGAAAACAGAAAGTGATACTCATTACAAACTGAAAAGCCTGAGCATTTTAAATTCTCATCCTTTTCTCGCAGTTCTTAAAATACTGATTGACCCATGGTCAGAAAGGACATGAACCATGTTAAAACTGATCTTTAAGAACACTTAAATGCTTTAACAGTAAGTATTGCCCAAGTAAGTGGCAAAATATCTGCACATAATGAACAAAAATATTTGGCTGAGGAGCCAAGTTCTAAAACAGGAAAATGAGAAGTGATTTAGTGCTATTACATGGGCTTGCTAAAAAAACCTTTGCATATAATGGCATTGCTAACTCAAAAGAAAAAAAACCAAACAGTTTTATTTTTTGTCTAGGAGGAAGTGAACTCTGTAGCATCAGCACTTGTTTTCAGTGAGACCAGTATCCACTGGAACTACGTACACAAGTCCATTTGTGGAGAACAGTGATTATGACTAACACCACCAGCATGGGAAAAAACCTCTAAGAATTCCCTTTTTTTCAAAGCAGGGAAATACCAGTTACAGCTTCCTCTTCACTAAGCAAGAGCAGCAGAGCAGTATTTAGATCCTAAAACAATAGTAATGAGTAGCTACATGTGGCTTCCACAGAACTTCCTCAGCAGCAGACAAGAAACCCGACCCTTACGAAGAGCCGTGCTGCTGAGGATCAGTATGGAGCTGTCAGGGCTGCAGCGAGAGCATACCAAGAATTACTGCTCCAGAAGGCAAAGCAAGTCCTTAACAAGGTTAACTTCTTCCTGGCAGCTGAAGTATCGATGTGGAAGATGGAGCACAAAGAAATCAGAACTGGCAGCCTTTAATCACCATTTGTTTCCCCACCTAAGGATGACTCGGGCATGCAGCTACACCGCAGCTGAGACGCTGTACACCACACCCTCTTCTGGCACAGTCCTTCCCTCCCCACCATACCTCAAATATTTTATCTCTCTCTCCAGAAGTGCAAGAGCAGAAGCACTTCCATGTTAGCTTCCCCCGCATCCACAGGTCGCGTGTGCAGTTGGCTCCAAAGGCACCGAGGCCGCGGCACTGCCGGCAGTGCTGGGGGAAGGGGGCAAAGGCTTGCAAAATAAAAAGCCTTGGTCAGGCAAAGCTGGCAAGTAGTAAGTTGTGCATTCACTCTGCTTCCCACGGCAAGTAGGCATTTAATATTAATAAAACTGCTTTCAGTTTTTGAATTGAAAACTGATTCATCTTGCTAAATTTCTTCTGTGCTCGTCCAACAAATGAGCTTAAAGGGGAGAGCACATTATCAATTTCACTCCATAAATTTGATCAGATATCTAGCCTGCTATTTGGTACTATTCTTTCAGACTCACAGTTAAGAAATCCTGTGGTTCACAAGATCATAGTACAAAAATCACTCTTCATAATCTAATTTTATAAATTGTAATTAAAAATTAAATTACAACAGAGATGGAGCCATGAGTGGACACTGAGCTGGCTGAAACCCAGTAATCAAAGGCCCATAACGCACACTTCCAGTCTGCGGCTTTACCAACTGAACACCTCTGAGTTGTAAAAGGTTTGCATTGTACCCTGATATGAGATCAAACTGGCAGTAGAGCCCAATCTCTGGTAACACCACATGAAGGACTATGATTTTACATTTTTAACTGAAAACATGGCCTCTTCTCTCTGACCATTCTTTCCACACCCTGATGTTTCCCCTTTTTATCACACAGCTTTTGTTTCAGTTTCAACTGCTTCAAGCATTCAACCATTTTTATTTAGGTATTTCAAGCTGCAATCTGCCACAGAAATCAACTTTATCTAATCCATCATATTACCTAATTTGTACTTTATTTTCACCCTACTTACCCAGAAACCACCAATAACCTCAGGGACTAAACTGAGAAAAATGGAGCCAGATTATCTGCTTTTACCTTGTCTACAGAGTCATACAAAGCTGCTAGCTGCTGGGATGACAGAGCCTTTCTCCTATAGGTTATTCTTTGCCTCTCAACAAAATCGTAAAATGTATATAATAATTGTGTATTTTTCCAATTTACTTTTGCACCATTAATCTTGATAAAAAATCTAGTCACAAGATCTTTTTAGTATTTGCATAAAATACAAATGCGTATACTCTCCAGTTTACTCTACTTACTCTCTTCCATTTTGTTTGCTGGTAAATTTTATGTATTCTCTTGTTCAAACAGAAATATTTCAAGGGGGTTTTTATCAAAGTACTCAAAAGTAAACAAAAATCCTTTGACTGAAGCACTTAAAAGGACATAGTTAGAGAAGTCCCAAGTAAAAGTAACATTTAAATGTACTTCCTGCATGGATTCCCAAACAGACTGGGCTGCCTAATGAAAGAGCAGGGTTTATCACTCTGTACTAAAAAGATAAGGCAATATAACTGTAACAGCACATTAAACATTCAGAGCTAGAGGGAAGAAACCAGAATAGCCATGCCCCAATTTGTTTCATACAACTGCATCACTTCTCCTGCTGCAAACTACATGAAAGGCACAGATCCTGCCTGGCCTTCAGTCCACAGGCAGTATTTTCAAGGCCAGTTTAAGAGGACAGAACCTAAGTTTTGCATTTCTAAGTTTAACAAAGGGACCGGCACAAAGGAGACATGGGGGCATCTCCAAACCACAGATGTCCTCTCTACAGAGTCAGCGCTGCTTGGGAGACAAAGGAAGTGGCAAATACCACTGTTTTCTCAGTTTACAGCTCCGTACGAGTTCGGCTTGAACAACTGCAGGGTTGTCAAAAATATCTGTTACAAAACCAGTTATTAAATACAGTAGTCAGATGTGTGCAAAGGTATGCAATGCTTCAGATTCTCCAGCACAGGCATTCAGGGTTAATGGAAGGAGGTGGGGAAGTGAACAAGTTATTATACAGTTGAAAGATTAAATGTAAAAACATACCTTTTGTAGACTAGTTGGGTTCAGCTGTGTTTTGTCAATTATTTTTATGGCAACCTAAAGGAAGAGTTCATGATCAGTATTTTCCATAGGAACAATACCACATTATTACAACATGCTCAAATCCAGTAACAGAAATGGAAAACATGAAAATTACACAAAAAACCCCGCTTAAGTTCCTCCTACAAATTATGTATTTGTATTTAAACTAGAAGTAAGAGTGGAAAAAACCCTGGTATTTTAAGGATATTAAGATAAGAAGCTTGCTGAGACTTTGACTTGACATTAAGACCATCACACTCATGACAGTGGAAGCTCCAGCAGAAGACAGTGCCCCAATAGAGAGCAGTGTTCCTACAGATAATATTTACAGAGTATAACTACACAACAGATTATACAGCAGTGACTGGGCATTGGCAGTTTCTAAAAGCAGAGATTTCAGAGCATATTGAAAGCATTTCCACACAAATTTGGCAAGAAATAAGCTCATCTTTGGAAATTCACTAAATATTTGTGTCAATTTGCTCCCCCCAACGGGTATTAAAAAAAGTATCACTTGGGAATCAACAAAAACATGTTGGCCATAGTACAACACTTTGGGTAAGTGCATTCCTTTACTCATTCTCCTCTTTTCAGTAAATGCTGCACAGAAATACTAAAGAACAAAATAAAAATTTCACATAATAAGGAAAAGAGAAATTCTGTACTGTGCTAACTAGCCAGAACCTGAAGATTTGAAGCAATGAATAGGCAATAGAAACTTCAGTGCAATGCAATTTGGATATTGGATGAGGTAGAACAAGAAATGAGAATCTTTCTAGAATTACATGCCAATTGGTATTTCTACTTTCTAAATTAGAGACTAAACATACCAGAAGAAGCTCTGCAGAAGGAGATTGTGCCTCCCAAAGAGGCAAGATGCTGCAACCAGCTGATTATAATACCTCACTGGTGCAAAGCATAGGCTTTCTACTCCAATTTTTGGCTCAAACAGTAGATGCTGCTGCTTCCCATGCCACAGCTCCCATTTCCCTGCATCACTTTGTGCTATCTTTGTCACCTCATTAACCTGGGGTTGGCGACATATGGAATAAATAATATCTTACATCAAAGCCAATTTATACCCCTACATTCAAGTGCAAAAACATGGGGATGGATTGTCACGATGGAGAGGGTAAGAGGGCAACATTGTTCAATGCTTGGGTGCCTCACAGAGTTACATAATGGATATGGTGTTTTCTGAACCTGATATTCAAGACTTATTTTGAGCTCTTCTAGATGCAAGATATGATGAGACATGACTGAGAAGCCATCTAGGAATGCTTTTACTTTGGGGAGTGTTTTCTTCTAAGGCAAGCTACTGAAATTAAGGATCACTATTTCCTGAGGCAAAATTCCATTGCAAAACCTTGAGAAATCTCTTCAAAAATACAAACAAGAGTGAAAAACATTAAGCAATAGGTATTTTATATTAGCAGCTGTGTACGAAACCAAGAAAGATTTTTATCTCTACTTTTATGCCTGTTGTTAACTTTGTGACAATAGTTCAAAGTTGTTTACTTCCTGCAATCTCTTATAATTCCATGCTGGATGTAGTGACCACTGTTTTTGTCAACAGCAGATAATGTTATTTGAAAGTGGTGCCCCAAGACTACCCACAGCTCTTCACTTGGTAAGCGCATCACACTCAGAAAAGGTTGCATTTGTGTTCTGGGCTGTACCATTTTGGACAATCTTTAAAAGATGTAACCTTTTTCAACCCACCAAGCCTTAAGGTACCATGTTACTGCAAAACCAGCTCACCTCAGCATGCACTTGTTGCCAGGTGACCAGAAAGGTCTCTGACACTGTCAAACAAATTCAGCCCTGTAGATACAGGGAAGGTACAGACCTCAGTTTTCCAAAAGACAGACTCTCAGGCCTGTTCAGTGTGCTAATTATAGCTTTAAAGGCAGGATGAATTTAGAGAATTCCTATCCACATTAACACTGAGAGTACAATGTGTTAACATGGTCTGTGAGAGCTTGAACCCATCATCAGACCAGGAAACAACTCCAGGTGTCTTGATAAGGTCTTCAAATCACAGTCAAAGGCAGCCTGCCCTCAAGAATAGTTCTGACAAGCCTGAGAAAGTTAAATTTTCTAAGTACAGTTAATAAAACATTAAATCGCCTTTCAAAGCAGAAACTTTACTCTCTTTACGTAAAGTGCATTTGGAATGGTTTCATGTACTGTGAGCTAGGGCCAGTGCTGGAAAAATGCAAGTCCAACCTACACTATTACACCACTGCCACGATATCCTGTGTGAAATCATTAATGGAATTAAAACTGAGTTTGCTTTCACCATTTACAATAATGAGACTTAAAAATTCCTCCTACGTGATTTGAATAAGAGAGTTAAAGAAATCAGAAGTTGAGACATTGAGCAAATTGCCCAAGCAGCTACTATTCAGAATGTTTTCTCCCTCTTAAATTTTACTTTTTCCAAGAGAAGAACAGAAAGAAGATGACAATAGATTCCTTGGAGTCCGACTTGAATTCTGAAAGAATTCAGCCTCACTGGGAAACTTCAGCTCCCTGGCTATTAACTGACTGTTAACTAACTATTAACATCTTTAAGGAACAGAAGGGTCCATAATAATTTTGGCCACCTCAGTTATAGCAGACAGTAGTTTTATCTTTTAGATTAATTTTGGTAAGTATGGAAAACTTGACAGAGGAAACATCCTTTGATGAAACTGCAACAGAAAATAAATGGATTGCAGTCAAAGAATTAAGAAAAGCAGATTGTCAATGAAGACTTGTAGTTTCAAAAGGGCAGACAGCCTACAAATAACACTCCTAGGCAGAGGATCAAGAAGAATGGTGTGTCCAAGCACCAGCTCTAATGCAGTGAAGCTAATCTCTGGCCACATACTCCTTGCAAGACAGTTCAACCCCCACAAGTTAGGCTGATGTTCTCATCATCCCCTGAAGGGCTAAACATTTCTTCCTTTCTGTAATTTGAAGATGGGCTCTCATCATGCATCCTGCAGACACACTAAAGATGGAATTCAAAAAGACTCCTAGAACTTACTCCAGTTGGAAACATGAAATCTTCATCTCAAGCAACAGGAAAATTCCCAGGGAAGGACTCCAGATGCAAGGAGATGAGCAACTACCCTAAAAGAATGTTTAAATAAACATATCCTCCTCCCAGGAAGTGACAGGAAAGTGCTGATCTACTTCAGGATTTGGAAGCTCCTGAGCACAGAGATATAAAGATGGAATTGCCCTAAAGGAAAACCAACATGGCCACTTAAAAGGACATTCAGAACAGAAACACGGATAACAAGGAAAAGATAAGTGGGGTTCAAATATAGCAAGAACACAGCAGAGATGAAAATTCATTTAAGTGTAACTCACAAAACTAAGCATTTAGTTTACATTCTGGTATATAAGATGGAAAAAAGAACAGGAACAAAGGACAGGCAGCAGGAGCAAGTGTGTAAAGCAGGAAATCACAAATTTAGAAAGCTAAGTGCCATCTGGCTGAGGCCAGGCTGAGAATATGACCCTGGAATTCTTATGAGATGCAGGTTTTTAAAGGAGAAAGGAAAAAAAGCATTCTTGCAGCACAGGTTCCTAGCATGTACCAAGAACAGGACAGCAGAGCAGGGTTTAGAAATGAGCAGACAATTTTTTTTCCCCAATTCATTATAAAATTCTTGAACTTGAAATTGGCAGGGAAAAACCAAGGAAACAGAAGGTTTAAATGCAACACATTTTCCTACAGTTGACTGTACCCTATGGAAATACACAAGATATGACTACCTGGACTATTGAAAAGCCTCACCTAGGAGGCTGCATGGAAATTTTTCAACTAGATAAGCTGAAAAGTGCACAGAGTTGTTTTTTTATTTTTCCTAAAAAAATGGATAAAGATATATTAGGTTGGAAATAAATGAGTAAGAGTTTTTCAAGGACAAGATTTTGGGACCAATCTTGTTTAATATCTGTATCAGCAGCCTTGGCACAGGATATCAAACCATAATGATTAAGTCTGCTGCAGTAGTTAAGAGGCACCATCAAATACAATGGAAAACCAATTTAAAGAACCTTGGAGATGAGTTAGCAATGAAACAGATTCAGCATACAAGGTTGGTGCTGTTGCTGATCACAAGCAAAACACATCAATTTAACAGCCAGGAGAAAGGCTAGCACAATCTGAAGACTGATCAGATAAATACTTCTGTAAGGGCAAGGGTGAAGTAATGACATTGGGGAAATTGCTATCCAAAATATTGGAAACAATTCTGGTCACAGACATCAAAAATTATCAACATTGTACAGTTTATCTAGCAAGAAGAGAAATTCTACTCATCTCCCTCTTAAGAAAAAGAAGTTTTAAATATCTTGAAGATATTCCTATAAAATTAACTTAATTTTTCCCTTTTAAGGAACGACTCTCATTCCAATGGTTACAACCCAGAAAGTATTTATGCTCTGAATTGATTGAACTACATCAATTCTATGACAGTGGAAGAAACTTAGTACCCAAACCTTTCCAAATTTAGCCGAAAAATTTTACACTGTCTGCTTTATTTGTTGAAATTTCAAACAGAAGTAATGAACCAGAGTTATCTGCAAGTAAAGGAAAATGTACTTCACTTTTTGCAAAGTGTGACACATATCTATCTCCAAGTTCTATACCTATAATAATAGCAGAGAAATACTAACCAAGTACTTGCATATCCCATCTTAAGTACCAGTAAAAGGAGAAGGGAACTTAAGTGGAAAGGAATAAGCCAAAATCTTTCTCTACAAATAAAACTGTCATCAGAAGACAATGGGAACTGCCAGCCAAAAAAAAAAAAAATACATCTCAACAGCTCTTGCAAAACGATGTCTCCCCTCTCTTCTTGCCTCTGTTCCTGCTACTGAACTCTGTATTAGCTCAGAAAAGAGAAATTCCCCTAAAGTACTGCAGTCAGCAACACAGCTTCTGTAAAAGTCCTTGCTGGTATCAGCAAACATTTACTTCATTAGACAGGTTTAGCAAGAAAAGGTCAGTAAGGTCCTTCTCCCTCTTTCAGTACTTCAGAGCTGTTTTTAATAAAACAGCACCAAGAAACACCTTCTTGTAACAAGCAGACAGGACTATAGCTCACCAAATCAGAACCACAATTAGAACCAAATCAGTGCAAGTGATTAATTACATTGCAATGGCATGCAGAAACTAAATATGGAGCTGAGTTTGCCTCCAAGAAGAGATGCAAGAGAAAGCTTGTCTATACTACACACATTGAGCAAACTGTCACTGGCACACAGGCTATCTCTGAACAAACTGAAGCATCTTCCCAAAGCTGCCCAGCAGTGCAGACATCCTGGGATGATCCACCCTAGGATTCCTGGGAGATATATTGCTTTGGCAAGAAAATACTGCATTTGAGCTACTTGGAACATAATTAAGACAACATTTAGTTCTCATGACTAACTTCACCTCCAGTAACAGCCCAGCAGTATAGACACTAAGAGCCAGTCTTTCCAAGAAGCTTATTTAATTGCTGTACATTGATCTGCTTTTTGAAAATGGAGGATTTATCCAAGAATATTAGTAGCAAATTTTAACATATATCAGCTGGACAGAGACTTGTCAAAAATACAAATTTAAGAAACCATTTCCAAGAGAAATTATTTTGTAATCATTACTAAAAAAAATAGTTTTCAATTTCTGCTTTTACATTGGTGGCAATATCTCTAGAAAACATGCTTGATGTTTGCTGGCTTAGATGATGCTATTCGAAGAGAACCTCCACACCTACAGCAACTCATTGCTGTTTACACCCATACCACTTTACCTCTCTGCCAGTTAGGATGTGCCTTGCCAGTTTCACTTTTGCAAAATTCCCCTTTCCAATGGTTTTAAGGAGTCTGTAATTTCCAATATGCGGCTGCTCATCAGCACAGGAGGCTATAGAGTTCCTGCAGCGAGCTCCAGAGCGCCCAGTTCGAGAGGAAACTTCCTGCCGTCCGTCTCCATGGGACGTGTGCTGCAACAAAAACATACACGGGTAAGGCTGAGGAATAAGGACAAAACACATCAAAGATGAGAAGCATACAACATTCAAAAACATCAGCGATGCCTTTGAAGAAAAACAAAGGGTCCAACTGAAACTTCATGTTTACACTGAACTTTGTTCTGATGGGGGAAATAAAGTGGTGCCCAGTTCACATCACCTCATCACCTCAGAAAGACAGTGAACATCACCTGCGCTGCAGCAACAGCTGAGCATTTTTAAGTAACTTACATGGACTGCCAGAGCAGATAGGAAATATGGATGTGTTTGATATTATTTCCTATTTGCATTACTGTACATAACTAGTGCAGGAAAGCCTTTGGAAAGGAAACACGAATACAGATTTTCCAAGAGCACAAATTGTTAAACTTAATGGACAACTTATACTAATAAAATAATAAAAGGGTTTTAGTCTTCCCTGTGGTACTAAACTTGTGTTCCTACAGATCTGTATGACTGAAAATACCCAGGATGACCTGAAGAACAAGGGAAGAAATCTTACCTATTATACTGAAACCCAGAATATTGATAGGCTGAAAGCCAGTTACAGAGATCTGAGACACTGTCTGCAATCTTTCAAGTTCCTTTCATTTTCATTTCCCTGAACAGCTACTAATTAAAAAGGAATGGTCATATATTATCTCTAACAGTCTTTACTCATTAGATCACATGGTTAAGGTTAAAGTATCTCTTAATTTCCTGACAGCCTGTTTATGAAAGTGCAGGTGCCTTCTTATGTTTTTAAATCATGGTTGAGGTCCTTACACCAACCACACTAATTAAAGTATTAGTTAGAAATGTTTAGGGGCCCCCAAATGTGGAGCAAATATCTCACTCCACCAAAGATGACACATTAACTTCATAGTCATCCCAGAAACCCCAGATCTTGCTCTTCTACTACTACTCCTCTTGCTGAAACCCATTGGGGACAACCAAGAAACTGGTATACAGCAACATTCAGTCTGAAAATCACTGTAGTGTGAGGATGAGATCATATCTCAAGAGCTAACAACCATGGTACAGGCACAAATGAACAAATCCATGCTTGCATGAGGCTTGGCAAGTTTCACTTGCCTGATATAACCTTGTGACCATATACTCTCACATCTTAGGTTCCTTGATTTGTTAATTTGTTAATTTCACAGCAACAGCTGTGATCAAATTATTTTTAAAAACACATTCATTTCATATAAGAAATGCTACTGATAGGAGTCTATGGCAACTCCTGGAAAATTGTTTCAATAGTTACTATTTTAAAAAAAACACATAATGTTTTAGTACCAATCTGGCTTTAGCTTCTCCTTACTGACTGGCTACTGCACTGCCACAAGATTTGGACTTCCCATAGTGGTACTTAATTTCTCTGATCACAATACCCTTTCACTTTAGTAAGTGATATGTATATTGAACTCCCCAAACAGGCTGCTGTACGAATGATTAAAGACAAGGAAACATTTCCTGTACTTCTGTTGAGAACCCTCCTCTATTTTTCCAACATCTTTTTGTGGGGCTCATGGTAGACATGGACCTACCATACCAAGAGTAGGTGCAGCAGGACTAAACACAGAGGCTGCATCTTCTGTTCAATACCCTACTGATTTCACAGGGGCAGAACTAACCCTCTTTGCAAAAGACCATCTGTACCTGACCGCCCAATGTCAACCCTGATTTACTGCTTCTCCTTCCTGAATCCTTACATGTATGATCACATTTGGCTGAACTGAAATGTAAAGTTTCCTTTCATGCAGGATATCAAGTGTTCCTGATGAGTGGCCCATCCTGCCCGATTTCATAGTCTAGCAATTTTATCAGTTTTCAGGAGCAAGTATACATGTGTTTTTCCAAACTACTAATAACTGGCACAAGAACAAGAAGCACACCCGTAACAATATCCAGTAAAAATTCAAGGCTTGATAATAATTCAGTGTTCTCAATAATATCTTAAGACCTACAACAACTGGGTAAGTGTTTATCCATAAGTAATTCTCAAGGAGAGGAAGGACAAGCAGTCAACAACTGAAGGAACTACTAATGTACTAAAGCCAGTGAAATCCTATTTAACCATTTCAGTATTTTGCATGTCCTGAATGTAAGGCTGGTGCTGATTGTTCACCTTAGCCACGCCTCTGTGTACTGGCACAGTAATGCCAATCTTCTCTATTTCCCTAAACTTTGACTTCTAACAAACCTTGCAACACACAATGCAGAGAACTTCTCTGTCAGCTCCTTTCGTACCTTTTAGTGTCAAATTATTCAGACCAGCTAGAAAAAAGCAGCAACTGCTGATGCTAGATGCTAACATCCTCCTACACTGCTACCCCTGGTGATCAGGGACCAGGATGTTCTGTACAGGGCCATGGGGATATTTCTCGGATATATTAGAGGAAGGTTCATTTCAGTTCAAGTACAGCATACTAGGAATACAACTGTACTACTTACACTGCACTTCACTGAGTTGATAACTTTCCTCAGAAAAATAAGTGTATCAGAACTATTTAAACTACAGCACTTCCACACCTGGGCACTCAGCACAAGCTGGCTTCAGCAGGAGCCAGACTGCCTCCCAGCAGGGCTTGTTAGCTTAGGCTCTCCAGCAGACAGATTCAAGAACTTGAATTCAACAGTTTTTGAACCACGCAGCTGACTCTGAAAACACAGTAGTTGTGCTACCTTGTGCTTGAACTAAAACACTGTTAGTTCTGAGCTATCCTAACAAGCAGCTGAGATGTGGGCATCAGGTATGATGTACTCCCAAGCCAGAGAACGAGTTAGCCAAAATCGATCTAACTCACACCCTACTTCACATAAGCACTGTCAGGTAAAGGAAAGATTTGTTATCCTAACTCTATTCCACACAGTAAACCACCCAGTTAATGTCTTGAGAGCTTCACTGTCCTCTTGAGAAATTACTTCTTGTGTCCCATCATCTTTTCATGCTTCCTAGCTTTGCATTTAAAGGACAAAATTAAAAGCTGCAAACTCATTTGGACTAGGGTTGATAAACTGAACACAATCTCCTTGTATGGGGGTTTGCATTTCCACCCCAACCCAGATTATTTCTTTTCAAGAATATGACCTTTTTCAGCTGCGCGTTTTCAGTATCAAGCTGTGAGTTCCTAAGCAGTTCAGTTCTCTCCAACTGATTTGCTCAAAGCCATGTTTCATTCTGTAGAAATCTAGCCATTGGCAACCATATCTAATTTGGACTATATTCCACTTTACATAAATAAATCTATCAGCAAGTCCTTCCTCTGTCAGTTACATTATTATACTGAACAGACAACAAGCTTTCTAAAAACCACAGAAAACAGATTGTCCATTTCAACATGGATTTTCTTTTGCATATGGAAATGAAGAGCATAAACTCAAAACTGAGTGAAAGTGTTTCTCCAAACCTAGTCATTTTCAAGAAGCTGTGATAGGCAGATGGAAAGCTAAATGGTGTAGGCAAAAAGCAAAATATAGGTGGTCCAATAAAAGCTCAAATCATGCACTGGCTTGTATAGCATCTGGCTGTGCCCAAGTACATCCCAGGGCAGTTTCCTCAGCAAACAGATTAGTGCCAATCTCAGCCCAGAGAAACGGCAATAGCACCCTCTGCTCTCCAAACTGAGATGCAGATCATTTGTCTTTTCTCTCAAATCCACAGATTTTGTCTCCCTCACTACACTGACCCCTCCCCAAAACTGTTCAATTTCAGGCTTTTTTTTCCAGGTCCACATTTGTAAGGTTTCAAGAAGATATGGTGTGTGTCTTAAAAACATAAGATTTAAAATCAGCATGTGTTTATTTGTAATAAGTTTCCATACATTGTGGTAGGTGAGTTGTATTTCCTGGAGGTGCTTTCTGTGTAAGAATAACACTTTCTAATGAACTCACCATGGCTGAGTGATTCCCAAAATATCTGTGTTCATGTAAAGCAAGACCATTACACTGTAGAGGGAAACTGAGGCAAGGAGATTGGGTACTTTGTGCAACATCAGGTTTGCCAGTCACTTCCTCTTTTAAAAGAAAAGTCTCCTGAAATCCACTCACAACAATAAAGCACTTTCTTCCGTATCTTGGCATGCAGCAGGTTGCATTTAAAAATCTTATAAACACTTGAAATATTTTTCTTTTTTTTTTCACCATCCATTTTCAAGCTAGCAGGACAACCTTTGTCATTAAAAAAACCCCAAAACAAAACATTCTCCTCCTCCCCTCAGCCCCACCCTATTATTACTCAACCCAGAAGGAAATGAAGTAAAGCATCTTTATTTGTGAGAGAGCTTATTGCAAGGGAGGGACTGAACTCAAGACCAACTATATTTGGAACACAACACAAAACCCACCTTTTCGCAAAAGCCTTCCCCCAATGATGAGCCGACATCCTTTCATAGCCAGATAATGATTAGCATGAAGAGAAAGAAAAAAAGAAAAGGAAAAAAAGTAAAAAGCAAATGAAGTATGAAGGTGTCAACAACTGAAATATTTTTGGTAGATGTTAGTTTTATCCAGTATCTGTATGGTTTCAGATTAGAAACACCCAGGGCAGGGGATGACTAGTATCAAAGTTCTTGAACTGCTTAAGAAGGTGCCAGAAGTCGAGGAAAAACCTGAAAGAAACAGAACCTGATGTCCATTTGAAGAGCTGAAAAACAGTAAGAAATCAGAACGTCCAAAACCAGCAAAAATCCATGTTTGATTACAGTAAATAGGAAACTCCTTCTGAAACAGGGGGGAGAACAAATGGCATCAACTTTTTAAAAGTATTTATTTAATTAAATAGTGAGAACTAGCTTATCATCAGCAAAAATGAACAAATAAAATTTAATCTTATTGAAGTCACCAGGGATGTTTATTACTTTAACTGTTACCTCACCTCTACCTGAAATACTACAAAGTAATATTACAGAATTTCTTGGAAAGCTGTCAGACGAGTAACAATCATGACAGCCTCATTTCATTCAGATTTTTTAATTGTAGTAAGAAAAAACTCTACTTAAAGCCTATACCTTATAATGCTAATAATGTAAGTATTCCAGGACACAAACATTTGAGACACTAAATTGCATCTTTACCTTAACCTGGGCACACAATATATAAATACATACTAATTTCTGGCTCTGCACTTTCCACTAGCACTCTCATTTACAGAAAAACTTAACAGGAACCATATCATAGTTTATTTTTTTAAAAAAAAATCTCAGAAGTATTTAAAATCAAACATGCAAAGAGAAATTTTCACTGCAGCCCTTCCCAACAATGTGTTGTATTTTATTTCCCGTTCTCATTAACATCTTTAAGAACCCACAGACTGCTGAGTACTACTCAGTGTAAGAGCAAAAAGGTAGCCCTAAGGATATGCACAGAGGTAGCATCTTACTGAGCACAGATATCCCTGAAATAGCACAGCAGGGCATCCTGCAACTGCTGACAAAGGAATTCTACTGGAAAGTCAAAACAGAGACTTATGTTTCTGGCAGCCACCAAAGGGTGTCACAGCAAACACTCAACCACAATTGTTTATATACCAGCTACTACCCTGGGATTCCCTAAATCATCGTGTATTATAAAGTATTATAATATTTTCCTAGATTATTAAACAGGAATGCACCAGGAGAAAATGTCCTGTACTTGTCCTGATTTTACTTCTCTCCTACCAGTGACCAAGGCACAAATCAGGATATGAAGTGAGGTGGATTCTGTCAGACCAAGTATGCATATGTTGATGTTTGCATAACCAATTATTTGGTTCCAACATATATAATTAAAAGGCAGTTTTTAGACTAGCTTGCTCCATAATCTGTCTTAATGGTAAACAGTCATGGCTTCCAACTCAAAATTTTAAAGGGTCTCCTACGAAGAAAAATGCTATGCACCTAATGTGGCACTGACTGAAGTTATCAACCCATGAGAGAATTTATTCACTGATGTGGGCTACGGCCCAACCATCATGGATGTTGTGATCGAGTGGAACAACTGAACGAGTCAGAATTCAAGGGAGATAAGCAGACCTTCTAGAAATATAATACAGATGTTAAAGGAGAGAAAACACTAATTGGGATGCTTCCATTGTCAAAAGGGAAAGATTTCACTGTGCAGTTCTCAGCCCGTCATCGTGTTCATTCATGTAATGGTATGACATTCATGAAAACGAGTGGCTATTTTAATTAGGTCAGATCTGTCAAACCACTGGATTAAAGGGGAAACCTGAAGAGCAAACAGCCTTTAGCACACGGAAGCTATACCTCTGACACACATTGCTAATTCCTCCACACCTCAGTGGGGAAGGCAAAATAAAAGAAAAAAAACCAGGAGTAACGGTCATGACACGGCAGATCCGGCTCAAAGTGAGCACAGCAATGCAATGCCCTACACTCGGCAGCTTGATGGAGGTGGGCAGCAGGGACACAGGACACTTTCACCTGGCAGAGGGAACACTGCTACCCAAAGCAACACATGCACACTCCTAATTCTGGCTACTGACCAGCAGTGGGAATTGCAGTGGGAATTGCTAGTGACAAGTGCAGCACTGCCCTGAAGACCAGAGTGGGGATGTGCTGACAGCAAAGCACTAACAGTCCTCAGCAAAGGAAGGATGCTCCCCCCGCAGACATACAGGGTCTGGCTCAAGAGTCCTCCCATGTAAAACCACTACAGCCTCTGCGATGTGTTTGGCAGTATTCGGTTCATGGTCTATACAGCATATGAAAGAGAGTGATCTTGTAATTCCATGATTAGCACTGAACAACACAACAGTGAAGAAATCCTGCTTATATAATCAAAAAGATAAGTCTGGTGCCAGTTAGAAAAGCTCTTTAAAAGCTCTTTTGTTGCTTCACATTATCAAGATCTGACATTCATCATATCTTTCCAGCCAAAATTCCTTTACTGCTGATTAAAATGGATATTTATTGACATCAGCCTGGGGAATAATAGCTAAAAAGCCAACCATATTCTATTCTTCATCAACAATACTGCCAACTAAGTTGTTTCCAGAATCATCACTGTCAGTAATTACATGCTAAACAAAAAAGATAAAAACCCAACCACCTCACAGTTGGTTTTCAAAAACCACATTGAACTTGCAGATAGAAAACTTTGCTTAGGCTTTAACCCTGCAGGAACAAATTTTACTTGAAAGTCAATTTCTGTTTATATGTATATATATATATACATCTTGAGCTCAGCAACTTCCTGCTTTATGGGGCAAGAATTCTGCTTAACCCAAGGGTTTCATCCTTATCACAGGTGTACTCAGTATCTTTCAGGTTTATATTTTAAGAGCAGTATGCACCTATTTATCATATGTTCTAAAGAATTTTAGTGGCAGATGATCTCCTAGCTAAGCAGAGCCAACCCTGATATGCCATGAGCCTAAAAAAAAAAGGTGACCTCCAGTTTTGATCTGGCTGACACCCATAAGGCAACATTATTCAACTGAGGAGAGGAAGTTGCAGACAACATGCTACTTATATATCATATGAAACAGAGATCAGGAGAGACAAATGCCTCCACTCTTTGAATTCCTTTGACTTGAGTCACCTGAGACATGTTGTCAACAGGAACTGTCCGCTTACATCAACATGAATATATCTTTTGGCTAGAACTAAGATGGAGAACCAAGCAGGTAAGCATACCAGGTGAGTGGGTAACAAAAGCTAGGAAGAAGTCTGTTAAGTTCAGTGTACTAAATATTGTATTTCCTCTCATTTTTTTTCCCCAATTTCCTGTAGTTGTGTTCTGTTTTTCAGACTGCTACCTCTAAGGCCACAACATAAGTCACATTTGGTGGCGCTAATGAATTAAGCCTAACTATGTACATTTCCTGGAGTAAGGTCCTGCAACCTACTTTTTCTGAGTGACTGAAATAATGTAAAAAGGGGGTAAAAAAAAAGGTTATTTCCAAGAACAAAACATCCCAAATTACACTGTTGTAAATATGTATCTCTGTTTGTAGTTGTGGCACAACGCAACTCACCCTAGAACCAGGGTGCTGTGCTGTGACCGGCTTAATTTAAACCAAAATAAAAACACCAGGAAGCGTTTCTAACCTTCCCCACCTGAACTGGATGTTCTGTTTGCAGCCACAGAATGGGGATAACCCCACCTTTCTTAAGGGTATGTACCAGTTGGATCAGAGCTGATCAGACTCGTCACACAGCCCCATGATAATTAGTTCTGGCACAAACCGCGGGTGGGAAGAGGCACCCAAGGCTGATGCCCCCAGCAGCCTCCCATCAGTGTGAGCTGACTGAAACCAACAGATTAACCACCACAGCACAGGCAGTTCAGCACAGCTAAGAATTAAATGTCTCACTGTAAAAATGTGAAGATACTAGCAGCTGGTGACTTGCAATATCATGCAGCCTCACCAGGTATTTTCTGAGTACACAGTACCAGGCCTGCCGGCATCAGCATCTTTTTCTGCTCTAGGGAATTTTGGCACTAAAAAAAATCCCAGGTGAATTCTTAAAATGTTTTTTATTTCTCATTATTTTGCCACCTTCACCCCATTTAATTCAAACCAGAACATTTACTACAACTGGTGAAAAATATGGAATAGTGTAGATGGTCCTGTAGAAGAAAATCTATCAGAACTCTTGGCCACAGGAACCCTTCCCTCCTTGGTCCCTTCTTTAAAAAAACCCACAGGATTTCATGCTACGGAAGAAAGCATTCCAATTACAGATCTATCTGTAATAGGAGAAGACTGATAAATAATATACAGAACAATGCAAGCTTGCATATTGTCTGCAAATGCTCTAATGCATTTCATAGTTAATTGATAATAAACCAAGGCATACTGCACTAACTTTCCCAGTATCTTAAAATACGTTTTTGTACCTAACCCTGCTTTTACTAAATCTTTTTAAATAAAAAAAAAAAAGGGGGTGGTACTTCTGCCGCACAGAATCCTTTTGTGCAAGCACAGTTGCCATCATGCTGGCATTTTTCAATAGCAAATTTTTCACATTAGGCACAGTCATGGAGATAAGAGTATATTTTAGTCTTGCTTTTCCTCAAATTACGTAAATTTTTAATTCAGATTGGCCTGCAGAACCAACACATTCAAAATAGTTACCCTTTTTTCCTGCAAAAAAACCCCACAGCTGTGCAATGAACACAGAGGTTTTAATTAAACTCCTTAATCCAAGATTTTTCTTTTCTATTTCATGCTGTTAAAAAAAGTAATCTTCCAACCTCCATACCACCTGTATTTCCTTGTTTCTATCTATAGTTTGCTATCATCTTCCCACTCTTTGAACATTTTTTTAATGAATAGTTGTCCTACTCCTCACAACCTTGCTCCTTCTGCTCCTATTTCTTTGTCACTGGTTGTCCTCCAACCTGCCATATACACATTCCTCTGTGACTCCTCTCATCTTTTGTTTTCCACCTTCTATCTTCTTTTTCCATTGTGTTTCCACACTCTATTCTCCTCCATCTTCTCTCCCTTCCTTCTCATTACTAGTAAAACAGGTTTACTCATTGTTCTGTCATCTTAAGTCCTTCTTCTGTGTGTATCCTGTCTCCCAGATTTGCATGAAGGAGGTCTCTGCTGCTTTCTTTCTCACATGCAGAACATGTTTTTGAAAAAGACCGAGAAGATGTGATCCTGTCCTGCACTTCTCTCCCCTAAGCAGCTGGCAGCCACTGCTGCACAAGACATGGCCAGAGAGGAGCTGCTCTGTCTCTGCAGTGAGGAGCCAGCTCATCACAGGCCAACAGCCAGCTTCCAACTGTCCAAGTGTGAAGTTCCTATGATCAGAGATCATCTGGGATGCCTTTCCTCTCAAGACCAGGTGACTTGGAGCCAAATTCTTTAATCTCAAAGGCACTAAAGGCTTGGTAGCTCTGAGTAGCTTTTGGGGAAAGTCACTGTGACAGTATTTCCACTTCAGCATGTCTTGATAAGAAGCCTTAGGAAAAAGAATAAAAATCAAGTACTGGCAATTACACTTTTTTATTCAACAGGACCTGCCAACCGCTGAACGTGGTTAACTGCAAACACAGACAATGATAATTTATACCCACTGTCATTCTGGAGGCTAACTTCATTTTCAAAACTGCAAGTATAGGCATGGATAGCTATGATCAGCACACTTTAACCAGATTCAACACCAGCCAAGCCTTTGTCAGCAGTGGTAACCTTCCAAGCAGAGAGAAGGCATTAATGGGGTCCACAACCATGGCCCAAAGGCTAGCTGAACACCTTGGCACCTCCTAAGCCTCTTCAAAGAGTCCTCTGAATATTAACTAATTAGACTTCTCTTGTATGAAAGAGAATGAATCAAGGCTCAATTTACCTGCCAACACAACACACCCAGCTTTGAGGTAAAAGAACAGTTAGCTGAAGTATCAAAATTATTGTATTTGGTATTAAAAAAGAAACCTGGTGTTCACAGCTGTAGGGGTAATTCAGACAGATTAAACATCAAATTTAAATTTAGTTTTTAAGCAAGGCATAACAGAACAGAGTTTGGTAAATTTCTAGATAGCTGATGGCCAAAACATCAGAGAGCTTCCTGAGGAATATGGTATTGTACTGGGAGGGGCTTGGCTCACTGGATCTGGCAAGTACTTGGATTAATCACTCCTTGTCAGTATCACTACCTATAGGTATTTCTGTGGACATCAGCACAGAATACAGCAATTGAAAAATATGCCTTATTCTAAACATAAGGCAATTAATCTGCAAGCAAGACAATCCATGTATGTCAAATTATGAAGATAACTAAACAGAAGTGTTAGACCAATATTTTGAAGTGAGAACAAGGTGCCTTAAGTGGAAGACATGTAAAAATCTAACTTCAAGTGCTAGAACACACAGCTTGTGAATAATTATGCTTCCTTGAGCACATATTAAGTCTTTCCACTGTAAAGTTATCCACAGTAGAGTTTGAATTAATTGGGGAATCTGATCTGAACACTTTCTAAAATGATTTACCATGTGGCCTCTATACCTTTGCATGGAGCTCGACAACCCCAGTCAGGTTTGGTATAAACTAAAACAATCATCCAAATAAACTCTGCATAGTATTTTGTAGAGTATGTTTCAACTTCAACTCTCCCCATGGCATAGGAAGGGCCGCATAATATTTTAATTATTTTCTTCCACAAGACAGGAAGCTCATTGAGATTTTACAACCAAATATGCTTAGTTGGCTTTTTGCTCAATACAGCCCTTAGCCTGCAGGTTGCATGTAGTGCTAAAACAAATAAAGATCACAGAAGTTAGAAGTGCCTATTATGTCAATAAAATCTAAATCCCTAGTAATGCAGTAATTGTTCCATGCAGCATGTTTTCTAATGCTTTGTCTGGTCTTGTTTTAAACAATGGGGCTACCATCACTTTTCTAGGACTATTTATGGTCTGGAACAATCCAACAGCTTTTCCTGATCTTTAACCAAAGTTTCCACCTTTTATGCCGCTCCAAAACGTAAGAAGCCCTTACAAAAAAATAAAAAAAAAATTATAAAAAAAAAATTATAAAAAAGCCTCCTCCATCAAGCTTAGCATCTATCTTGTAAAGAATATCAGACAGCCTTTACAAAAAGCTGAATACAAAGTTCACCGATCAACTCATTTTAGACTACAGTGAGTGACAACTCCCTTCTGTTTATCATTTGTGGACATGTCAGTGTCCATGCAGAAAAATGGTTAGACAGGATACACCAGGATCAAGTAAGTTTTAACTTAGGAGAAACACAGTTTCTATCTGCAGAAAGGGAGTCTCCTACCGAGCCTCATTTGTTGCTATATGCTCATGTGGTAGGACTACTTTTTTTTTGTTGTTCTTTATTCCTTTAGCATACGACCTTTGTGACTGATTTAATCCTGTAAATAAAGTGTCAATTCCTAAACCTTGGCTTTGTCAAGGTAAAAAAAAAAAAAAAAGAAGAAGAGGAGGTATTCGGTGTGTGTGAAGGGAACAGGCTCCCTTGCGCGAAGGGTAATTCCAATAAAGAAACCCTTTTAATGTCATCTGAACAGGTGACTAGCCTAACAGCGTCATTACCACCGAGAACCCTGCAAATTAAGCAGGGAAGAGGCCTATTATCTAGGTCACCTAGCCCACCCCTAGCCAAGCTGAATTATTCCCATCTGTTTACCAGAGGTATATTCGGGTGCTTTAGCACTAAGTTTGCGTATCAGGAGAAGGCAACAGCCCCCCAGAGCTCCCCTCCCCACCGCGGATCCCCGTTACCGACATAACCAAACCCATCCTCGACACCCTGCGACACTCAAATAGTACAGGAGGAATTAAAGAGGGGACACTGGGTTTGGGAGGGATGCTCGCAAACACCAGGGAGCCGACGAACCGTGCTATGGAGGGGTTAAAAAAATAATCAATTCAGAATAAATCGGCAATTTGGGCAGCGTGCAGGCGGCGGGCGGCTGCTGACAGCGCCCCGTGGGGCGATGGCCCCGCGGCGGGGCCGGGCGCGGCGAGGTGCGGCGGGTCCCCCGCGGCCGCGGTACTCACGTTCTCGGTGTCGCGCTCGTTCACCGTGGGCAATGGAGTCCGAGTGGACATTTTCCCTCACTCGGGCGGCCGCGGCGGCGGCGCGCACAGACACACACACGGGCCCCGGGCTGCGCGTCTGCTCCGAGATGGTGGTCGCAGGGAGCCACCATGAAGGACGAGGTGCCTGGCGGGGGGCGGCGTCGCGTCGGTGCCCCCCCACTAGATCCTCCTCGGGGAGCGGAGCGGCCTCGCCCCCTCCGAGTCCTTCGGGTTCATCCTACAGCCGGGGTCCGCAGGGGTCAGCAGCGGGGAGGGGGCCGCCTCATCCAGCGGAGAGGGGATGGAGCCGAGGGAAGGGATGGAGCAGGGGAAAGGGAGGCGGCGAGGGAGCGGCTCCGGGGGGGAGGGGGTGAGCGCAGGGCGGGCGGGAGGAGGCGGCAACGGGGCGCCGCGCAGCCCGGCTTCTCTCGGCTGCCGCCGGGGCACGGCTAGCGCAGGCCCGCCGCCCGGGGTCTGCCCTCTCCTTCCCCCGCCGCGGCCCCGCTTCACCGCGCCGCCGCTCGCATCGCGGCCCGCCCCAGGCTCCGAGAAGGCCGGCGCCCCGCGGGCTGCGGGCGCTCGGTGGGTGCCCGCCCGCCGCTCCCTCCCTCCGTGCCTGCCCCCCGCCCGCCCCGCCGCCGCTCCCGGACGAGGCAAGATGGCCGCGCTGCTTCTCCGCGCCAGCCCAGCGCCGACATGAACCGGAAGGTCCCGCCCCCCGCCCGGCGTGTGCGGGGGCCTCGGGGCCGGGACCGGCCCTGCCCTCCGTGCTGGCCCCGTGTCCCCCGGGGATCTGTCTCGTCCCTCCCGGGGACCGGCCCTGCCCTCGGTGCCGGCCCCGCGAACTCCGGGGATCGGAGCAGCCCCGGGGCGGCACAGCTTGGAGCGGGGTTCGCCTTTGTGAGACCCCCACCTGGGGCACTGCGTACAGTTCTGGTGTCCCCAGTACAAGGAGGACATAGAACTGCTGGAGCAAGTCCAGAAGGGACCTCGAAGTTGCTTAAGAGGACTGGAGCATTTTCCCTACAAAGATCGAGAAAGTTGAGGCTGTTCAGTTTGAAGAAGGTTGTGTGGGGAACTCATCAACCTTCCAGTATCTGAGAGGGGCTACAGGGAAGCTAGAGAGGGACGCTCCATCAGTAGCTGTAGTGATAGGACAAACAGTAATGGGTACAGATTGAAAGAGGGGGAAATTATATTAGATATTAGCAACAATTTTTTTTACCGTGAGGGTGGTGAGGCACCAGAACAGGTTACTCAGAGAAACTGTGTGTGCCCCATCCCTGGAAGTGCTGAAGCCCAGATGTATGGGGCTTTGAGCAACCTGATCTAGTGAGAGATGTCCCTGCCTATGGCAGGGGGTTGGCACTGGGTTCTTCCAACCCCTTAACAGTCTTTGATTCCGTGATTCTATAAGGAATATAAAGAATATAAAGAGACCTCCAGGGAGCTGCGGCCCCTCCAGGGTGGGAGGAGATGCGGTGTGAGGTGGGGTGCTTAGGTTTTGGGGAACACCGTGGGACAGAGGGGCTGGTGCCACAGAGTGGCTGGAGAAATGGCAGATCTCCCTAGAGATCCAGCCCTTAGCTGGGGAAGGGAACAGATCCCCCTGCCCACTCACAGCCAGGGGAAGGGACACAGGCACGGGTAGTCCAGCAGTGGTCATCTGTGTTCAGGGTTCTGTCCTTGGGACATCTGCCAAAGCACAGCCTTCCTTTTCTTGGGCTTTCCCAGCCCAGAGGATGGTGTGTGTGTGTCACAGAAGGGAGCTCACACCTGGCAGGGGTCTGAGGCTGGTGTTGGCAGATCTCACCTGGCGCCATCAGACACCCATACAGTGTTAGAGCACTATTTTCATACCAGCTTGATGCTTGGCTCTTTTGTTGAAGAAGGGTGGAAGCCTGGGCTATCAAAACATTCTTTGTATATCCACTAGTTACTCTGCACAATCCTTTTTAAGTCTACAAAGAAGATCTTGGTATAGTCAGGAGTAGTTCTAATTATGAATTAAAATCAAGAAAGATAAATAACTTCTGTATATTATGTATGTAAGTGGTTTAAAACCAAACCTATTTCTGTTTGTTTTTGTTTTTTTTTTAACAGAAAAAATACAAACCTCTGTAGAAAAAAAAAAATGCTGGGTCTGGCAGGATTTGTAGAAACTTGGCATGTCTGCGGGTCTGGCAGCCTAGTAGTAACATTTTGTCTTTCTAAGTGGTGTTTCTCTGACAAACTTTATGGCTGTCATATATATTTGCCAGCTCAGACCTGAAATCCATCCTATGATATAGGTTATATTTCCTTTGCTTTTAGAGATGTGAGCAAGAAAAGATGGCCTTTGAATGCCACCCAGTAAAGTTGTATGTCTGTTACTTCGTCATCAGGACTACAAAATGCTCCACAACATCTGACCTGCAGATTTTCCTTCCTAAGTCTTTCATTAAGCTGATGTCTTGGTCTGTGTTAATGACAGGAATTTTGGATTTCAGGACTCACCCCTTGTGCAAATGTTTGTATTTCTGTGTGTACATGCACATTCATATGTGTACTTGCTCAGACAATACACACTCATAGTGGAGCCACTCTCCCTGGGAAGCAGGCAGGACCCTTTGCACAGAGCAGGGAGTGGGATTTGTCTGTATCTGACTTGTCAAGGTCAGTCATGAAGTCTAAAGCAAAGCCAGGAAAAGTATCCAGATCTCCTGACTCTGCTTTTGCCACAGGGCTGCTGCTTCATCTTTTTCTTTTCAATTGCCAGTAGAATATGTTCTTTACAATGTGTTTGTAAAAAATTCTAATTGAGTTATGATAGAGTCAGAAGAAGGGCAAAAATTGGGCAGAGATTTCTTTGGGTTGTTACCGAGCCTAGTGCTCCCACCCTGCTCATGGGCACTCCAGCCAGCATGGGAAGGGTGAGCTGCCCACATTAGAGCGATTGGCAGTGTGAGAAGTACATGTAATGCTGTTTGCACCTAAGAGTATGCCTGTCCTGATCTGTGGAAGTTCTGTGCACAGGCATGAAGAGGCATTAAGCTTAGCATTGTGTTTTACATACTTGCATTTCTGCTCCATGGAAGCAGTCACTCCGATAAAATCGGAACTGTACAATGGTGGATAGTCAGATGCAATTCCTGGGCCTGTTGATACAGTAGGAGTTCCACTATTGCCCTTGATAAAGCCCACATTTAATACTTGCAGTCCACATTTAAAGGGGTTGGGGAAAGGGCACAGGGAGCAGCGGAGCTGTGAGGGATGACTGTATCTTTCAGAGTCCTGTTTTTGATTGCCAAAAGGATTTTGAAGTAAGAACTTCTGAAGAAGTGCTTGAGACCACAAAAATAACAGTAGCTGATTTTGCTATTTTATTGCCATTAAAATGACAACATTGATTAGAGCTGGTTTTACTGTGTAGCAAAACTTTCACAGGGAATGACAAACTGCATAGCAGGTGCTTTCTTCTGCATTTAATTGTTGTTATGTTCTGCTTCTCCCATTTAAACAGATGAGCTAATTTCAAAACACATTCATGTTCTTAGAAAATGGGCCATAGAAAAAAGCTGATTGTACAGGTTTCATCTTTCTTTGTTGTCCATAAATATTCTGTGTATTATCAGGTACTACTTAAGCCATATTCACAAATCAGAAGGTGATTTCTTTTCCTGTATAAAGATTTTAAAAACTCAGAAAGCAGTCTGATAATCCTATCATGCTTTCTGTTTCTTGTGCTATCACTAGTTGTGGTGGTAGTGGTTTTGTGAGGGGGACTTAGATGATAATGTTTGTATGTTACCAGAATAGGCTGCAATTTGTGTTTTGAGCTGTACTGGCTACAACGCTAGCAGTTATAAAAACTTGGTTGTGGAAGTAGAGATGGAGAATATGACTCCAAAAACATACAGGAAGCAGATTCTGCTAGTTCAGGTGCTTTTTTTGTGTCACTCATTTGGCTGCCACCTCACAGAAAGCAGTAAGATACAGAATGACATCACTGTGGTGAAGAATTAAGAATTTTTTTCTTCTGGACATTAAAAGCCACAGTAAGAACCTCTTAACACTGCACTGCACAGAGTAGACTCCAACAGCATTTGCAGTCAGAACAAAAAATGTTGGACTTGATTACAATTGCTGGGCAAACATAAGGATTGAATTTAATGTATTCATATGCACAGGTTTTGAGTCTTAATTCTGGAAGAGGGATTACAGATGCAGAACTGACTGAGGAATTTGTATTCCACTCACTGCTCTTTAAAGGCTGGGGACTGAAAGACATCAGTTGGTAGAGACAAGTAGAGAATCAGCTAATGTAATGGTTATAGGTGCTTTGTTGTGTTTTGCAGCTATGACAGTGCTTACCAGCTGGGAATCTGCCCAGGTATTAGATCATTTTAGTTTATACAAAACTTCTAGTTTAGATTGATAGTTGTTAACCCTGATGAAACTTTTTGGTTTTTTCCTTAAGCCTTTGAAAAACACATTTTAAAATATGTGACATCCACTGGGATATAGCTAATATTATTCATTCTTATTCCAATGCCTTTTTTCTTTTTCTTGTACAAATTCTAAGGTAATTCCATGCAGTAAAAAATTTCCAGGACTGTTTTATTATTAGTGTTGTCTTTAGAATTGAAGTAATTCCTCGTGTTTGAAATCAGTATTTGTATTTGGTTTTAAAATCTTAACTTCCAAACAATACATAATCTTAACAGTGTTTTATGGTAGGAAGAAGTGTGTGATTTTTAAAATGTTAATTACAAAAGCTATTGATAGAAAAGGACTGATTACTGTCTGCAACCTGAATCAATAGTCCATGCTCAGTTATGATGAGGCCCAAGTGCAACCTGCTGCAAGGCCAGAGCAAAATGTGGTGTTGACAGCAGAGAAAACATTGGAAAGGGAAAAGATCTTCCTTCTCAGGTTCATGTCAAGCAGAGATTGAGACCTGAGAGGTGGGAGATTTTGCGTGTGTTAACTTTTCCCTTTGGTCCATACAAGTGCCTGGGGACAGCAGAGTGGCCTTGGCACTGCAACTGCTCAGCATTCCTCAGGTGAGGAGGGGTTCAGGCACTGGGCTGCAGGGTAAACAGGGGCAAACAGTGGTGCTTCCTGAACTGCATGCCTCATTTAATTCCCTTCCTGTAGGGCCAGGCATGCTGTGCTTTGCCTGCAGAGCCATATGGTGTGATGCATAACACGTGAACCTTCATGATAGGATCTCTATCAAGTGCCTGAACTGCACTAATTCCACCGCCATTTGACGCAAATGCCTATATGGATCATAGCTGCAGGACAGAATCACAGTGCTCTGGAGAGCTGGGTGAGAGCATTGCTATCATGGGTTGGCACAAGGTCACTGTTTAGAGAAGCAGA